AACCGCTCGTGGTGATTGGGGGTGGTGATTCTGCTGCAGAGGAGGCCATGTTTCTGACCAAATACGGTTCCCACGTCACCGTGCTGGTGAGGAGGGACAAGCTGCGGGCCTCGAAAACCATGGCGAAACGATTGCTGGCGAATCCAAAGGTGACAGTGAAATTCAACCATGTTGCTGTCGAGGTACAAGGAGAAAACAAACCACGAGGACTAATGACGCATCTGAAGGTCAGGAACGTGGTCACGAAAGAAGAGGAAGTCCTGGAAGCCAACGGACTGTTTTATGCCGTCGGTCATGACCCGGCAACGGCTATGTTCAAGGGCCAAATGAATACAGACGAAGACGGCTACATTCTGACGAAGCCCGGCACAAGTTACACCAGTATCTCTGGCGTGTTTGCGGCCGGAGATGTGCAGGACAAACGGTATCGCCAGGCTATCACCAGTGCCGGAAGCGGATGCATAGCAGCTCTCGAAGCGGAGAAGTACCTGGCGGAGTTGGAGGATTCCGAATTGGACATTGAGAAGGAGAAACAGGCGAAGAAACCAGAAATCAACGGTGAGACAGCCCCGGAGTATCGCTCCAACCCGCTGTTGTAATTGTATGATTGTCATGAGTGGACGCTAGGCAGATAGATGATAGAGATGCCTAAAATTCGGAGACGACCAGTTTATGGCTAAGATACTTTTCTCATGCAAAGGCTAGCCAGCGCCTATCGCTATGCGCAATGTCAGTTGTATTACGAATTTCCAACTCAGCATTCACACAAGGACATCATCTCCTCCTCAGATACCATGCAAATGCCGTGCTATGGACGTCAGCTTGGTAAGGGCTGGGGACCTCGGCCAATCCTGGCCTTGCAACGGGGTGTCTCAAGTATACTGCCGCGCAGATGTTGTGATTGACTTCGAGGAACCGTGGGATGAAAGCAAATGCACTCATGTATTCACGCGGCATCCAGGGAGTGGCATACGGTTTGGAGTCGTCAACGGGGTTCTCGTGCATGGAGCGCAGTGCAGCGTAAAGCTCGTTGTAATCAGCATCAGTGAGAATTGTCTCCTGCTCAAGTTCAGAGGTAGTCGATTCGGCCGCTTTTCTTGTCTCTGGACTTGGGTCAGAAGAAAGGGTCTTGTCCTCTTGTGCAGAAGGCAGGGCGTTTGCGCCGGCATCTTGGTTTTCTCTCCGGATTTTTAGCTGGTGTTGGATTTCCGTAAACTGAGCCTCGAGGCTATCCGTCAGGATTGTTGACGATGAGGATCGTGAGAGCAGCTTTTTGATGGCGGAGGAGAATCCTCGAAGGTCCTGCTTCCGCTTCGCTCCGATATCTCGTTTCGATGTGGCAAGGATACTCTTTGCTTTTGCTCGTAGGTCCTTCAGCACTTCCCGCGGATCCCTATCGACATCGACGTCCTCTTCAGCCGCTTCTTCAGCGGTCTTTCCTTTCTCAGCGGCTTCTGCTGTTTCTTCGCTGTTCCCTTCATCTGCCCCCTCTTCGCTCTTCGCCTTTGTCGGGATTTTGGGTGCTCCAGTCGCCCACATAACTCGTTCTGGTTCAACCTGAAACATATCTCCAGGGTTAAGTAAATAGCCCGGGTATCGCATCTGTTCATGGTGTTAAGTCTGCTTAATGGAAGTCGGCATTCACGTCCTCACCTGCTTGCCGTTGACCTTCACCGCTCCGTGTACAACAAACTGCCTGGCTTGCCGAGCGCTACTTGCGAACATAGCTCTGAAGATGGCCGTGTCTAATCTCCGCTCCATCGGCGCAAATGTCATTTGCATGTACGGGACCGCTGTTGCCGTCTTTTGCTTTCCTCTTGTCTCCAACCCTGATCCACGACCAGCAGATTCAAGCGAGCCATCATTGGAAGCCAGATATTCTGCGTCCATAGGTATCACTGATCGGATCCTCCTGTCGAACATTCGCAACCACTGCTTCTCACGGATGTGCTCGCCATGATAATTACGCGCCAACGACTTTGATGTCCATTTCTGTTTGAAAAAGTTATGTGGTTTTCCCGTGTAAGGCATCTGCCGTGCCAAGTTGTAGAGGTTGTATTTGTTCCATGACTGTCGGATTTTCTGGGCGAGCTGTCAGGAATTGCCTCGACAGAGAGGGCATATCTTTACTCACCACTTCGCCCAAAAAGTTCTTCTTTACCTTAAGAGGCGTCGACGGTTTGCGCGGCATCTTCAAAGACGGAGTAGACACTGGTCGGATGCATCGAAAGATTTCGTGCTTGTCGCAGCTATGTAGACAAGGATCGCCGGACCAGGAATATTGAGTTTTTCCGAAGCCCGGGCTGATATTTCCGACGACCTAATACGAAAACGAAAATCTTTCAGCTTTTCGTATTATGTGCCTCTGTTCTTCAACTACCTAGGTATTACTGAAGAATCTGTGCACTTTTGTTATGTGTCTGTTAATGAGCACTTACAATATTGCGGATGGATAAAAGTGGCTTTTGTCAAAATGCTTGCGAGACTTTGTTCCATGTGGTGGGATGGATTGAAATACTGGAAAACGCTACTAGATCCGAGCTCGGGTGGTACAACCGCTTATAATATAGAAGCAAGGGTACTTGAGGTGAAGTTGAAAAGATGGAATGCTCAGCTTCCTGCACTCGGAAATGGCAGCCAAACAGCTTCATCCAAGCTACGGCAATTACATCTCCCTCCAACAGCGCTATCCCAGGAGGGCGTTTCGGAATTTCAAGCAGGCAAATCACGCCAAATACAAAATCTCATCCACTGTTCCTGGCCAAAAACTCCTCGCTTGATGCTTCATAAAGTCGTGACAGGCAAGAGAAGTCAACACTGCATAGTTTGCCAGAAGTAGTCGGCGTAAAACCACTTTGAGAACTTCGGGTCGATATTGACAACATGCACATCGCCCTTCTTCGTGTTTGCAATCGTCGCCTTATTGTAGTTTCCTGCTTCATCCTGCTCCAAGGCAATTCCGAGTGATCTGTACAGCCAAAGACGCAGTCTACTCTCAAGTCAGCACTGGTTCCCATATCTCACGGTAGCCAACGCACATGGTGGGATCATCAATTTCGCGGGCCGCCCGCACATTCTCATCGCCTTCGACACCTTGTTCTTCCAAGTAGGACAATCGCAACTTCAACCGGTCAAGTTCTGATTCAAGTCTCTCGCTCTCAGCTTCTAGTTCCGAGGCCTGTTTGGCAATTCGGAACTTCTTAGTGTCTAGTTGCACAATCTCGCTGGCATGTCTACCGCTGTCATGGCCGGAGAGCACTTCTCGATGCTGCGAGGACAAAGTTGCCAATTGACGAGATAGTTTTCTCAGAGCGTTCTCAGCGTCTCGAATCCGAAGTTCGCGGGATTGTTGTAGGGTAGATAAGGAGTCATTGACACGCGACAGAGCGGCTTTGTCGGGTGCAATATTGAAGTTCGAAATGGTTGCGCGGATGAGCTGCATCATGTTAGGCTAGTCTTCACCTTGAAAAGAGAGGTCACTTACAGTGGACGGGTCTTCGTCAAGGAGCATTGTGAGCAATGTTGGCCAAAAGGTTCAGTGAATGTGTGAAAGGGTTGCTGTCGAGTTGAGGGGGATTTGGTTTGTTCGTTCATTGTTGACAGTGGTCGCAAGGAGCAACCTGCCGAGGCCCGGCCTTGTGAGGTTCCAGAAGGCCTAGTGGCAGACAGACGTCATGCCCAAGCCATCACTCCGTTTGCTGAGCCACAAGTCCATGTTTTCCACTCCGACCAGATCAACAGGCACCCAAAGCAATCGCCATCCGAATCTTATTATCGTCTCACTATCCCCCACAAGGCTGCTACTCGCCCGACTCAAATCGCGATGCCGTCAAATCTGCCATATGCCGCAGACGCAGAAAGGTTAGTGTCTGCACTCACATCCCCAGATAGCCAGGCTGACCCCATCTGTTGTAGTCCTCTCAAACCGGTAGAGTTACAAGTTCTTCGCGCACAGTATGAGAAAGAGGGCGAGTATGTGGGAGTTCAGACGAAATTCAACTATGCATGGGTATGGTGATCCGCTGGCCCGGCGCAAGAGATGTCGCAATTGACGGTTGTAGGGCTTAATCAAATCAAACCAGCGAAGCGAGCAACAACTGGGCGTACAGCTACTATCCGACATTTTCAAGACAACTCCTGAAAGGAGAAGAGAATGCTTATACTACCTGGCACTGGGAAACTACAAGTTGGGAAATTATGCTGAAGCGAGACGGTATAACGAGTTGTTACTAGAGAAGGAGCCTGGAAATCTGCAGGCTGCTAGCCTGCGACAATTGATCGATGACAAAGTATCAAGGGAGGGTTTGATGGGTGTTGCAATCATTGGCGGTGTTGCTGTTGCGGTGGGCATCGTTGGAGGCATGATAATGAGAGGATCACGGAAGAGGTGATGCTGTTTTCGAGCCCCTTGCGTCTGCTTTGGGGGGCTGTGTATGATAATTGCCTGGGACCGGGAGAATGGCCTGGTCTGGAGAATGATTTGGAATGGCGTCGAACAATGGACATGAGCAAACCAACACAGCGATCAGCTGGTGCGATCATTTTTGTTGGAGAAAACGCCAGTTGGCTCCAATTCATCCACAATCACTGCTTTTCCACGAAGGGGATTAAACCTCGTATGTTTATCGATAACTTCGGGGCAAGTGATGTGGCGGTGATGCAATCCCACCCGGTTGACACGCATACAACGGAAACCCACTGGACTTTCTGATTAATTACCTGCCATCTTTTGATTCATCAATACCTCTAATATCATTTCGCCCAGTCCCTCTCTAGCCTGCCGGGAAGATTCTTCTGTCCTTGCACGATCAACAACACTATCGAAACATTGCATTCCGCCACAAACGCACTGTCTCATCAACACGAAAGTTTCCGCTCCGCCTGCGCACGCCACTGCCAGCTTGCGCATGCCGACGGCCTCGTTCCCACTCCCTCTGCGCGGCTGAAATACCACTTCGCCAATTCAAGTCAGCCCCTTGACCAGCCTTATACACCTCATCATGTCAAGAATACGAGGTGAACGGGTCTTCTGTCATCAGTGCCAGAACGAATGGGATAGGGCGCACGGGGGACTCACCTGTCCGCGATGCGAAGGAGACTTCACCGAAATTGTACGCATACTCATATCTCATGGACGACTTCATGCTAATGAAAGGAATCAGCTTGAACCGAGCGAAGCCCTGTCAACCTACCAATTTGGACAAGAGCCGTCTCTGCCCTCGTCGCTCGAACCGGCCTCGTCACCCCTCGGTGGCCTACATAGCCATAATCCATGGTCCGAAGACGCAGATGACGACGATGGAACCAATTTTACAACGTTTGAATTTACAACCACTGGTGGAGCTGGAAGGATGGTTCTCAGCACCCGTTCTTGGAGGAGTGATGGCCGCAATGTACGAACTGATGGCCTGCGTGAAATCATTGATGAGATTGAACAATTGCTTACCCGACCGGGTGAACCACAGAATCGAGGCATGCCCGGTCCCTTTGGTCCTCTAAGCCCCTTCGGATTCCCACGAGGACAAGGGGCAGGCGGGTTAGATGGCCATCACCTCCATCTGCAGCCGGCGGGTTTGCAAGAGTATGTTTCATACGCTCGGTGACGTGTTTACGTGCTGAATGTTTTGCAGTCTCTTCTCCCTCATATTGCAATCAATGCAGCCGGATGGGCTTCATGGTCCGGACACTGACGATAGACGAAGGGGAGGCAATGTCCCGTTACCTTTCGACCTTGTCCATCAAATGCTCAACCCTGCCAATGCTCGAGCTGGTGACATCGCGCACAGTCAAGAAGCCTTTGATCGAATCATGTCAGATCTCATGGACCTCCACGATCTCAGTCCTAACGCGCCTCCGCCGGCGTCAGAGGAGGCCATCCTATCTCTCAGCAAGAAGAAGATGGATAGGGAAATGCTAGGCGAAGAAGGGAAGGCCGAGTGTTCGATATGCATGGACAACGTTGAGTTGGGCAACGAGGTGACTGTCCTACCATGCAATCATTGGTTTCACGGCGACTGCGTAACGGCGTGGCTGAAAGAGCACGATACTTGCCCTCATTGTCGGAAACCCATAACTGATCCTGAGGATCATCAGCGGCCGGGACCGTCAAGACGGAGAACCAGCCGGAGAGCATCTTCAGGATTAAGTCCACGTGCCTTTGGCACGGATGGCGGCCGCCCCAATTTGGCAGAAAGAACGCGTGAGATGCAAGAAATCAGTGACTACCTCTCTCGAAGGCAACGAGATAACGACTTGGAACACGCTGAAGCCCACCGACATTCGAGCATTCAAAGTGACCTAAGGCGACATGGCTCAAGAGGCCAAAGCAATAGCAATGGAGGAAGTCGCAGTGGCGGAAACAGCGGAGGAGTGACAGGCTGGATTAGAGATCATTTACCATTCTCTTGATCGCAGTCAGCAGGAAGCTGTTTAATTCTCCAGCAATCCGAGGCAGTATGGTCGACAGTAGTTCGATGCACAGTCGCCACAGTGAAGGATTCTCGGGGGGCGAGCGAAAGAGAACACGCAACGTCTTTTGTGCATCGGGCCGCATCAGAATGTCCATCTGATTTTGGCCATACGTCTCAAGACCATTAGGTGAGAATATCCAATCCAGGGGTGGAAGGGGTAATATCGGGAGACGTGAAAATTAAGATGAGATTGTAACAAATTCCCACAGGACAAGAACGGGGAGTCGGGTCTGGAAATCCGAAAACAAGGGTAGGACACACACAGGTATCTCTCTAAGGAATATTGAGGAACCCGTGCAAAGACTGCCGACAGCTTAGCGCAGCGAATATTGAATGTACTGTGTTCTGTGTATATGGTACCTATACGTACCTCGAAATATCCCGTACTCTGTACCTCCCTAGCAGGCAAAGGTTTACCTAATATTACGCGATGCCTCTCTGCCCCTTTCACATGTTCAGCTGTCACCTGATGTGCAAACTTTCACATGCCTTCGGCCCGCGATGTGGATTTTCGCATCTCGCTCGCCGTTTTCTGGTACTTGAGCATGGCACTGCCACTCGGACTCCGGGGCTTGCCAAAGAGACATACTTCGCAATGGTCACAGGTTCAGCATTCCTCGTCAGCTGTTGGCATGGTATGGTTTTGTTTCCAGTGTTGGCCTTGTTTTCTTTTCCTCTCTCCACTCTGCATGCAGACAAAGCATCAATTTGTCCGTGTTTTGGAATGGCGTTGGCTTGTTCAGGGTGCCTTGACAGTCCTGTACTCGACTACCTTTCGAATCTATCATTTGAAATCTTCAGCGCCCAGTGAAAATCAAGTATGATAGGTCAGTCTCACATCCTTCTCTGTCGTGAAATCCTCTGGACTGACTCCCGTGGGTAGATCATGTACTGGGCCGGCCGTCCTCTCAGTTTCGCAAAGTCCAGGTCTTTGCAGTGGTCTCCTTCTGGTCACTCTATCTTCTGAGGTACGCATTTGACTCTGCGTCTGAGGGTCGCTTACTCATGACTAGACAAGAGGTGACAAACATGGACCTCCGCTCATTCGATCCATCTCCCAACGCCTCTCAAAGCGGTTCACCGTCTGGCAATCGGTTGTTCTGACTTTCCTCTGGCTCTACATCTGCCGAAACTTTGCGAAGATCGTTGGCCTCGAGTCCCCAGAACCCCTCGCAAATCTGTATAACAGTTCATACTTCCGGGCGACATGGATCACCACTGCCTTGGACGCTGGCTTTTGGAGCGCCATGAGAATTAAAAACAAGACCATCAGGGATCTATGTTCAATCATATTCTCCGTGTACTATCTTTTTTCGGCGGAGCAAGCGGATGAGAAGGTTCGCAAAGTTCGTGCTGTCCTCACGGTCGACCATTTACGAGTCGCATGGAATAAACCAAACACACCTTACTTGAAGTTCTTCACAGCGCTATTACGCCCTCGGTTCACGAAGTACAAGCCACGCCGGATCCGAATCCCTCGCCCAAAGCAATCGCATTACAAGGAACCCGTTGTTGCGTGGATGTATTTCGATGGCTCTCTCGCTGAGTTGGAGAAGCAGGGGAATGTAGTCCTAGACATCCCGGGCGGAGGATTCGTTGCCATGGACCCGAGAACAAGTGACGACAAATTGCTTGCATTGGCCGGGAGAACAGGACTGCCAATTCTGAGTCTGGACTATCGCAAGGCACCCGAACACCCTTACCCGTATGCGCTGAACGAGTGCTTCGATGTCTACACCCAGATTGTGGAAACTCGAGGTCGTTGTATTGGCATGAAACCGGACACATGTCCAAGGATTGTAATCACAGGCGACAGCGCCGGTGGGAATCTGGCGTGTGGTACGACTTTGATGGTCATTCAATCGAACCAGAGCGGCGCTTCTCGAGGAATCCTACCCTCGCCTGCTGGGCTGGTTCTCCTCTACCCGGCTCTAGACTTCAACATTGGCAGCTGGATGACAGACGACCAAATGGCGCTGATTCGCAACCCGCGCACCGCGAAGAAATACGAGCTGTTTATCAAGCGCAAGAGCGAGGATATCGATCGCCGATATACTCCGACAACACCAAGGCCCGTGAGCGACGATGAAGACGACCCTGGTCATGATTTCTTCGCACCTAGAGTAGAAAACCCTGCCCAGGGGGAGGAGCTCCTTGACCGGAAGAGTACCGACGTGGAAGCACAGAAACAGGCAGTCGCCCTTTCAAAACCTCAGCCACTCAAGACAAGATTAGCCGTCTCCAGCATCATCTCCTACTTCGGTGACCGGATCCTCACTCCAGAGATGATGCGTGCAATGATCATCCTCTACGTCGGGCCCTATCATCGCCCTGACTTCACAACCGATCATTTGCTTTGTCCTGCTGTTGCCTCTGAAGGTCTCCTAGCGAAGTTCCCAAAAACATACTTCCTGACTGGCGAACGCGACCCGCTGGTTGACGACACCGTCATTTTCGCTGGCCGCCTACGCCAAGCGAAACTTCACCTCTTCCGCGAGCGACAAGAGGCCGGCCTTGAGAAATCCACGGCTGAATTCAATGAAAAGGACCATGTCGAAGTGACGCTCATTCCGGGAATCTCTCACGGATTCGTCTCCTTTGTGAGTATTTTCCCGGAAGGTTGGAAACACATCTTCCGCTGCGGCAAGTGGATCCAGGAGATTTTCGCAAGGCCACCACATCAGTTCGAAGGCCCGGCAATCGAAAGTAGGTTGAGAAAGGGCACATTCACGCACGACTCGGGCAGCTCGCTTGAGCTAGCCACAACAACTCAAACAATGCATCATAAAAGGACGCCTACGGGAGAGAGCATGGATGAAGACGCACCGTTGGTAATGTCGAGCCTTGCCCCCAGCAAGGAAGCAATGGCGAGACAAGACGGAGCCATCAAGGAAGACAGCAAACGGGGGAGACTAGAAGAGAAGCAAAAGGGCCCAGACAGTCTAGGACGGAGTAAGAGTCTCGTCAGTCTCGGCAGCGAAGAGGACCTGCTGAAGCGGAGGATGAAGGGACTGACCAAGGGATTATTGGGGTCTCACGGTTCTTGAAACGAGATCGAAGCTTTTATAGCTATCAGCGCTATTAAAGCTTCAGATTTGTTCTGTGGTGGGATAGTCTTCATCGGTGATGCATCAAGAAAATTGTGAAGACCAGAACCATATATGCTCCCGGTATTAATCCCATTTTAGTTTCCTCCCAAAGATGCTTTCTGCCCATCAGAATAGATACCCAGGCCGCCTCCCAAGAACGCCTTTTCCGACTTTCATCTCCTCGTGTTTATGAATTGTTACAAAGACTCCCGTCACAGACAGATGTGCGGGATAGCCCCTGAGCAGATATCTATCCAAAAGAACATGGCTGCATGTATAGAGAATATAGTTTCTTTGGTCTTTCCGATCCTGTTACCCATCATCCATAGTGCAAAGCGGGAGGTAATGACGCCGTGAATCTTCAACCGTACCGTTCCACGCCTCCGGCTTTGCTCACGCTCGACCTCTGAATGAAGCCCATGATCCCATCGCCCTGGAGCGGAGGCGACTGTGGCTGGGGCAGAGGCTCCGAGGCCGCCATCTCATGGATATGCGGAGGCGGCGAGACGCTATATATGACAGAGTGAACCGGTGTTGCGGTCCTGTTCACACAATTAGCATTTTCTGTTCTTGGATTTGTTATGATGGCAATCAATGAGGCTTACATGCTCTGCGGGATGCCACTGCTATACGCTGGGACTGAGTGCATCTGACTCGGGCTCGGGCTGTGTGGCGCAGCGACATCACTCCCTGGCGCGATTGGCCCGGGGCTGAGCGAGTCGCTCATAGGCACTGGATACGCGGGATGTAGGGGGGGCGACATAGTGGGATCATGTGAAGGTACGTATCCAGGCAATGCTGGAGAAGGTGCCATGCCCACGACGCTGCTGTGCATAGACATATGCTTGGTTGGATCTGTCATGTAGGACATATGGCCATGCGGCGCGTGCGGATTGTAGGAAACTTGGGTCGCATGGCCTGTGTTGGGGCGGTCGTCGATATATTTTATGCTAGACTCGCGGGCGCGGGATTGGCGGCCACAGAGATAGAGTGCGACGGCGGCGGCGAGAGCCACGGCAGAGGCTCCGATTGCAATTCCGGCGATCGCGCCACCAGAAAGGCTCGAACCAGAGGAAGATTTATCAGTAGCGCCGGTTGACGCAGAGTCGGTCGACGAAACAGTCGACGTTGCACTTGCGGTTGGGGACGTCGTGGTGAGTGGATTCTCGCCCTCGTTGGGCCAAGGTTGCCCTGGCAATAACATGAACTGTGATTCTGCCGCCAGGTCTTTTTGGTGTTGTAGGGATGTCGTGGCATTGGGATTTATGACGCCAACCATCTGATGGTCGATACACGATCCCGCCGCACCGCAATAGTAAAAGATTGGGTTTGTATCATTGACCAGAATCGACCATCGAGGTGGGTCGGGCAATACTGCCTCGACGGGGTAAAAGCCTGAGAAGAATCCAACCTTGTCGACGCCAGTGTCTTCGTAGGGAACGCAAGGATATCCGTATTCTGCGCGAATGACGGAGTGATTGTTAGGGTAGAATTGAAACAGAATTGTGTCGCCTACTTTGGCCAGAGTCACGTCGGGGGCGAATGTAAAGCCTGCCTACTCTGTGAATCAGTTACGTCTCTTGACATGATTTCCTTTGGCGCATCCCATACCAAAGCCACCGCAACCGTGTGTGTCATGGGCCCTTGTGTCGTGTTTGTAGCTGTTGTCGAGTTGGTAGACTCTGCGCCGTAACTCGTACTCGAAGATGTCGGAGCGGGGACAGAAGTGACAGAACCAGTAGGGGTAGCCGTCGATGAATCAGTCGCAGTCGTGAGAGTACCACTGTCCTGAGCAACTCCCAGGGCAGCGAGACCGAGGAAAAGAGTGAGGGACCGACGCATTATGAGCCAAAACGAGCGAAATTGACAAGGTGCGTAGGTACTATGTCGAGGTCAAAGGCCGTATCTGCGCCGGCGGCAGTTGGAGTGTGGTTGTGTAACCCACGACAACAACGAAAGAACAGAAAGGAAAGCAATAAATGAGAAAAGAGTGGTGGACGAGGTCAGGGACCTCCCAGAGATGAAGGAGTGTCTCCTGCGTGTAGCTCGGTGGGACAGCTGACATTTGAAGGCGGTGCTAGAGAGCAGCTGACGGGTGTTGCTAGCTCTGCAAGCTGTCCGCACACTGCACGATGGGGAGGGCAAACCATGCAGCCTCAGGCAGGTACCAATGGGTCCAGCTCGCCTAGCATTGGATAGCGCAAAGCCATTCCTGCAAGGCCAGGCTCTCCAAAACATAGGCCTTTTTGCAGTAAGAAGCCAGAGGCCGGAAGCCGCAAGCCGGAAGCAAGGGAATCTTGCCGAATGGAACAGACCTGGGAATCGGGATGGTCCAGCCCTGGAAGATAACAACCAGTGCCAGTTCTGAATTCGGCTCCAACAATCAGGGACACTCCTCGCTTAGTACTTGTAGGCCCAGAAGCCCAGAAGCCCGCTGGAAAAGGCTAGACGGGTTAAGCTCAGGAAGCTGCTTGTCCCAGGCAATAGAATCCAACTGAGCCTTTGTCGCAAGGGTCGAAGCATTACCCGTGCTGTCCTAGGGGTCTGTTCTCGCAGTCACTAAAAGCGATTGAACGCCCTCGCATGCTTAAGGATGATCTATCCATGCCACTCGCACGCGGACAAATGTCGAGACACAATGTAAGTGGAAAAAGGGAATCTGGAAAGATAACACGCAGGAGGCGGATTGAAGTCGCAAGTTCGCTCATTGTGCCGGCTATCGTAATCGCTGTCAAAGCAGAACCTTCGCCTTCAATGGCATGGAGCAGACTCATGGCGCGAAGGAGCGGCCCCGAAATTGCATTACGAACGCCCTGTCTGCACTACCCAGTAAACAGCCCTAACCTCCGCCATTAGTGGGTGTGGTAGCTGGCGTGAAATTGCCCGCACAAGTAGGGCTGCGACAATAGGAAAGAAGACAAGAAAACGACGAATAACCCCCGCACGTGTCGGCATTCATGCGAAGTGCTCGTATATGAGATGGGACAGAGTACAACTGCTTGGACAGAGGAGCGACTCTCTTATTTTCAGTAAATGGGTGAAGGTCAATGATCGCTGATCTGCCAGGCAAATGTCCAAATACGAGCAGACGGGGGAATTACTTCATCGTCCAGGATACATCCCTGGCTCGCAGGTACCAAAGATAGCAACAACCCATGTCAGAGGTACCGAGACAGACAGCAGAGGAAGATCTCATCTTCCCAGGCTCTCTGCCGTGCTCATACCACCTCCCCTAGAATACTCCCGCTCCCCAGCATTGGCGCGCCCCTCGACGCTCGCAGTTCATTACTTCTCTTGATGATATCTCTATCGAGCATCCACCACCACGATTTGAACACCTTTTCGCCCACCTCCCAGTTCATCTCCGAGGATGGATCACTGCCGCTTATCCTGACGCCCTCTGCGCTGTCCTCAAGGTCATACACAAAGTCCAGTAGGGCCATTGGCGAGGCTGCCCCTGGAGGTCGAAACTCGGGAGGCTGTGACAGCACCTTGATCATTCTGTCACGAGCCGATGGCCAGGGCAGGAGGTCAATAACTGGGTGGTGCGGAATGGTCATTTGAATCAGTGTCGGTTGTAAGTTACTTGGTAGATGATCGAACTGTGCCAGCGCTGTCGAAGAATCAGCGAACGGCGATGTTGAGGTCAGCGACCATATGATGTCTTCGACTTTCATCCGCCTAGCGATCGACATACAGCCCCGAAGTAATGTAAGCTCGGTCATTTCAAGGTGTGCTTCATCGGGGAATGAATATATCATCTCCTGCTCAACTATAGACAGCGCTTGAGGCGTTGTCTGACTGGTCCCCGGACTTCCCGTGGCTGTCGGGAGAGGTGCCAGCGACCACGTCTCGCTCTCGCTCGAAGAAGTATGCTTCGAGGATGACAGCGGTGTGCTCGGCAAAGAAGGTAGCAGGATCGATGTATCCCAGAGAGCCTCGTCGGCGGCAGCAATGCTGGTGAAGGAGTATGCATCGTAGCCAGCGAACGCATCTGGTAGAGCAGGGAACGGTGCAGTTTCCCCTGCTGCCTTGGTTGGATATTCACAAATGCTGTCATCAAACAATATGTCTGGCGGCCGGGATGATGAATGCGACGGTTGACTACCAGCTTCCGTTTGTGCTCCATTGGCGGGTGGTGATGTGCTTGGGCTCGTCGTCAAAGGAGGGCTTTGTCCATACAACACGTTGGCATCGCCGTTCACATCCGCTGCTTGTGCTTCGAGCTTTTTGATGTGTTCTTTCCGTCTCTGGCGGTATCGTCGTTGGGCAAGGACATTGAGCACCCGTTTCCTTTCCGCTGCGTTCTCCCCAGGTTGTGGAATTGCCAACGGTGCGGCCTTGCGCTTGATCTGGCCTTTTATTTCTGACATGGCCTTATATACCTTCCAGGGCAAAAGAAAGAACGAGCGCAAATCCAAAAGTCGGGGATCTCTGGCACAGATGGTATCTTGTACGACTACCTAAAAGACAGTGCCACTCGCGAGAGGTTCTTCGGTGAAGGGATTAAAAGGCTGCCAAAGTCCGCAAAAAGGATAGAGGGAGAGCACGTGTATTCTCGAAGTGTGTATTATGTCTTGTGTTTCGTCCGTTTGATCTCAGAGAAGTCGTCGCAGCTGTCTGTGATATAGGTTGAAGAAGACAACAACCCTTTTGGTGAGTGAGCAAAACTGGCGCCGAGTCTCCAAGATTCCCCAGCTGCAGGCCATAACGTTATGATCCGCAAAACGAAGGTTCGTAGCCAACCAGGTACACGAGAATTCTTGACCGATGTGGGGAAGAAGAGTAACGCGAATGCCTGGCCACGCACTCTGATAGGCCTAGGGGCTTCGAGATCCGAAGTTCTCAAAGTCCGAGTACGAAGGCGAGGATATCCTCGGTGACTTGGTCAGCATGCGTGAGGTACATCCCATGCGCTGCCTTCTCGTAGATTTTGATTTGGGCTTGTTTTGCAAGGTCCGGAATGAGGTTTGCGGTGGCTTCGGCAGGATTACCTGCGCAAAATCATGAGGACAGTGGGTGACATGACGGGCCATTCGAATTCACTTACTCTGGTCGTTGTCCCCGTGAATAACGAGAACTTTCACGTCTTTTCCGCCCAGTTTCTTGAGATCGTCGGTGAAATCTCTGTTCGTGATGATTAGGATACAGCTCTCAATTGCAAGAGCGTCAGCCTGTGCAACAATCCACTCGAACCGTTGCAAAACTGTTTCTGGCACTTTGATTCCAATGTTGAAAGGAATGCCAAACACGCCTGGGAGTGCGGTCCTGGTGAAGCCTATGCGATCGTTGCGGAACCCTGTCAAGATCATGTCCCATAGCTCTCGAGGCGGCGCCAGAGGGTTCGAATCTGTTTTCAATGGAAATGGAAGACTAGGACCCAGCCATATCAAGCCCTGGCATTCTTTCTGGAGGTCATCTCGCATCTGGAGGTATGCTAAGAGCGATTCACCACACCCCATGCTGCTCGCAACAAAGACGAACTTCCCGACCTTTACATGATCGATCAAGTCAATAGTATCATGAGCAAAGGTATCATAAGTGATATCCCTGCTGCGGCTTGAGTTCCATTCGCTTTTGCCAAAGCCTCTTCGGTCGGATGCAATACACCGGATTCCGTGGGTCTCGCACAATTTCACCATCAAGTGCTCGTACATCTGATGGGACATTGGCCACCCATGGATGAAGACTAGTGTTTTGTCGCTGTTACTGCAATCCTTTGCCGGACTGTCTGTTGGCCGAAGACGAGTGCGGCTTGAGGCTGGCTTGTAGTCAACGTAGTGTAAAGGCGTACCATCCAGGCTGGAGTGGATGAAGGGCATCTTGATCGGTTGAATATAGTAGCTCGTGTAGGTAATTGGAAAGGTCGAATCTGCAGGCTTGTGAATGTTAGAAAATGGGAAGATCTGAAGCACTATACGGCTCATATTTGTAGTTGTGGGACAGTGCAGTTCCACAGAGAATAATGTATGGATAACGAGAATCTTGCAGATCAAGATTGACCCATCGCATTATCTCATTCATGTCGTTAATTACCGCATGTCATCCGAAATCCTAACACAATGTCGATATGCTTTACCCCTACCATACCCGACTCAGCCAGCATCGTCGCTCTGCCTACTCACCGTTCCCTGTCGAGTAGGGGTCGGCGTAGGGCTCCCTTCGCGGTCGAGTCCACGTCCCATGGGTCGGACTCTGCTCCCAACAAAGCCTTTGCGGTTTCTACCCGTGCGACCCCGACCTAACCAGTTCAGCTTTAGTTGCTTGTTGAGTTCCTCCATCTTATTCTGAGCCTCGTCTCCTGACTGTATCGAGCATAAGACAGAGAGACATTGTAGCATTCGACCCACAGTTTCCGTAACATGCGAGGATGAACTATCAGTCGGCCTGGCCGCTGGTGGCGAGCTAAATGATTGGAAAGCCACGTCTTGTGCAGGATTGCTCACCACCGACAAATTAGACGTCGCACGAGACCTGCCACCGGATGTCATGCTGCCCAGCAACGTGCTGCTCTGAGAGTTGTAGCTGCCATATGTTGGCTCAGTGCCTTGTGCAGTCCCGGGTCTGTCACTTCCGCCGCTGTTGCCGCGATTTCTGTTGCCATTATCAAATTGCATTATCGAAGCGTTGATGCTGTCGAGACTCAGTCGTGAAAAAGTCGACTTAAGCACCTCATAGCGCGGTAGCACGATGGTATCGCGGTAGCTGATGAGCAGAATGCGTCTGACTTCTAGCTCTTCACCTGCAGCTACCACAAGGTCTACGCCCTCACCGGATGCCGGTGATGACGACAGCTTGCTACCACTATCATGGCTTGGTAGAGCTCCCCAGAATTCTGCAGCCATCTTGGGGGTCGTGAGAATGGTGCCTCTTCCCTTGAATTCTTGATCAAGTGGAAGGAAGACAGCCTGCATGAACGGGAGAATTTTGCCAAACACCTCCATCCATATACTCACCAGCCTGGGGACGAGGCTGTTATCAGCGACGTTGCGCAAGGTATGATTGAGGCTGAGAAGCCCAGTCTTCAGGAGGTCTTCGAGATCTCCAATGACAATGCTTGGATCTTTCCTTTGCACACATCTTTGCACGTGAATGGTGACGAGCTTGTTCAAGTCTTCAACCGCTATTCGTACATCTTCTCCTTCGAATGTCACTAATATCTTTGCCCTCAGAAGGTCCCAGGCGTCATCGGCGGACATATTGGAAAGACCAAAGTTCACACCGGCTTCTTTGATCTCGCTGTACGTATTGAAATTACTGACTGACTGGTTGGTAAAGCTGGTTCCGAGGGAAGGCCATTCCGAGGTGTCGCTTTCTCCTCGGCTGTAGACAGGTTCGAGGTTGGCGAAAGCTGCCTGGGCTTTTTCCTCTTTCTTCTTCTCCCGAAGAGCACGACCTCCATGCCGAAGGTCGAGTCCTGAGACTGATTTGGCAAAGTTGGACGACGGGTTAGGAGATGGGGGAGCAAAGGAGTATAGGGATTGAGGATTATTGACGTCCACTGGACGGGAATTTGAGTTAGCAGAAGACAACGGAAGGGCAAAGGTCTCATCCTTGTCCTTTAGTTTCAGTTTCTGGCGAAGACCATGGTGTTTGTGGGCCTTGTCTTTCAGCTCCTTTTGCTCTGGGATAGGAACAATAGTTGACGACGACGGGTTGGCCAGCTGATACATGGAGGAGGAGTTGGATGACAGTGACTCAGTTAGGCTCGTGGTTGAGGCATTCATAACCTTCGACAGACCACTCGGTGCTAGTCGGTTTGGAGAGGGCAGAGGCTTCTCTTTGGGCTCTTTGTCCTTGTCCCTTGACAGCACAATGTGTTTCGGTCTAAATCTCTTCAAACCCTTCTTTGACTTCTCTTCCTCCACCAACGACACCTGGCTAGCGGATGCGAAATTCCTTGGGAACACGACGCTGGCTGCCGTTGCCGCTGCATTGGTGCCTATCAATCCGTTTCGATACTGTTGTTCGGGGGCTGGAGCCGGGGATTGGCCTTCGTGAGAGCCCGCCGACCCTCTACTGTTCCGGCGACCTTCCTGTTGGCTCTGCTCTTGTGGAAATGGTACTGTCTGCGATCTTTTGCGGGAATGGTTCGTGGCATTAAGGTGCTGCATCGCAGCCTGTGCCGCAATCTGGGAAGGGTTAAGGGCAGGCATTCCTGTATGATCGTGGAGCTGCGACTGGCTTGCAAGCGAGGCGGAGGGCATTGAGGGCTCAAAGTATCCCTGTGAGTGCTGTCGTGGGCGGTGCTTTTGCAGTTCGGGCGGAGGCCCTAGACTCTGCTTCGCGCCACTGTCTCGAGGCATGTACTGCGCAGACGGCCGGTTATGAGATGACAGCGACGCATTGCCTGTATTGTTATGTGAGACAAACGTAGGTAATTGTTGGTTGTAAGGTGATCTCTTGACGACGGAGAGATGGGAAGAGCCCGATGTGTCGCTGTCGCTCGAACTAGGTCGGTTGCTCTGCTTCGAGCCCGCGCGTGATGGGTTAGGTGAAACTGCAGAGGCAGGAGGGACTGGCGACCGGAGTCCAGTCCGTCGTTGAGGAGGCGGTTCCATTGTTGAATAGAGCAAGAGTGAAAACCGTTCGCTTCACGGATTGGGGAAACGGTGGCGTGAGAGGTCACTATATCAACTGAACGGGAGGCATTACACGATACACAAGCACCATCCGCATGTTTAATCCCGCTTTACGCGTTCGAAAAGACAGGTTGAGGTCGTCTAACGAAGTAGCAATTGTGCGTGGAGGAGAATCCGCAAGTGAAATGATGTTGTTGACGTCGATGATCCTGTTCGGAGATGCCTGTCCCTCCGACCCCACCGTATGTACCGACCCTCTCATCTTCAAGAAAGCAAGACAGACACTTCCAACTGTCAACCACGGCCATGCCAGACGTCTCAGATCACCCCCATGCGGTCCTCACCGCCACCTATGACTCACCCTCCGGTTCGAAAAATTTCGAGTACACGATCTCTGCGCCACAAATCAAGCAGGATGGATCACTCGACACCGCAGCCAAAACGGAGTATGTGTCCAAACTCCGGGCATCAAGCAGGAAGCTACAGGAGGACATCAACAAGTTCTTGACTGCGAAAATGGAGGAAGACAAGGAACGGGTCGGCCAGGAAAGTCAGAGTGGTGTATTGAAGCAAAAGACGGACGAATTAGCAGAAGAGAACTACGGCGAAGAGGATGAGGAGGATGAGACTTGAGAAATGAAGTCGTCGCTCATGGGTATCTCAAGAGTCAATGTACTGGTGGGCCTCGATGGATTAGACCACCTTGGCTGCAATTTCGCTCTGCTTGCGCACTGCACATCCGAGGTGCACAACAGAATTGCTGTCTCGAGGGTCAGTATACAACAACCGATGCCTTTGGAGGGGTCGAGGGACACACTCACTCAGGAAACACACTGATCACACTGCCACCAAGTCGCTTATAGCAGACACCGCACACCCGATCTTCGTCGATCCGCACCTTCCTCCCTCGACCACCCGACTGGACGCCTTCTCCAAGCAGCAAAGCTGCCTGCATTCGAACAGCGTTCGCCTTTCTCAACCCAGAGACAATCATCGACTCATTCATTATGGTATTGGCATTGCGTATTCTGCCACGGAAATAAAACTCCAGCTCCTTCACCAGCAGATCTTCCGGGATCAGCTCCAACGTTGAACTTGCTGGCAGCCTGGGCCCATGGCGGGCCATCAACTCAATGGCTGGTCCGAACAGTGCCTGCTCCCCTTTCGGAGGATTTAAGTACAGATTTAAGAGAATATGATAGATTGATGGTTCCTCGTCAACTGGGTCGGTGGTCGACGGTTTCCGACGCGGAGTCAACTTGCTGGAGTATTTGCCGGTCTCCTCTAGATGCGTTTGATTGCAATATTCCTCCGCTTTGGCCGGGTCATGCAGTCTAAAGACGTATATCTCTAGAGCTTGCTTGTGGTTGCCCATCTTGCTGAAGACGATAGCTCGAGCTTCGTAGAACGTCGGATCATCCCGAGGTAGCAATGCCAAGGTCTTTGCGGGAGAATACTGATCAGATGTCCTCAACAGTGTCAGGAATTTATCGAGCAGCTGATCTCGGTTTGCGCTGGTCGAGTCCTTCAACCGTTCAAGATAAAGCGCGGCCAGCCGCTGATGCAGTTCAGGCGTCAGATCGTCAAGCTCGTCCACCACGTGTTCGAGATACCGCAATGCTAGGTCTATGTCGATCGACTCGAGAAATGCTAGAACCTTGTCACGCGGAAGTGACTCTGCATTTTCCGTGTCGCCCAAAAATATCTCCATCGCCATCTCCGGGTCTCTCTCCAGTGGCCACCTTGCAAACTCTAGTATCATATCGATCAGATCCGGCCCCAAATTCTGAAGATACGAGACCGTTCTTGCCGGTCCATGTAGCAGGGGATCAATATCTTCGGTCTTTTCAGCTTGTCCAAATTTTCGTAGTCTCTCCAGCGCTTGTCGGTGCAGTCTTTTTCCGTACAGAAACTCGATCAGATCGTTGTACCGTTCCGTCTCTTCTAGCTTTGCCATTACAACCTCTGGATCACAGAAGTTGGGGATGCGGAACAGAGATCCAGCGAGCGAAGGCGTGGCATACATATGTGCACGGAAAAGGGTGGTGTCAACTAGCTTGGCCACATCCAGCAGCTTGTCGGCAAGGTCAACATCGTCCAGTGTGGGTAACCCAAGAAGATGTTCTATGATCTGTCGGATATCCTCGGACTGGGCTGCGATTTGGACTTCTGACAGAGTGCGTACTGTCTGGTCTGGGTTGAAGAACCGTTGCAGCCGACGGCGAACATCGGCAAGGAATGCCTGAAGTTCTCGCACTGCTGTTTTAAGCTCCTTTTCCGAGAAGCATTCGCTATCTGTGTGGTCTGTGGTTTTCACGCTCTGTATGCTTGCCGCATCAGCCTCCGAAGCAATTCCCTTCGCCCTTTTCGTAGGGCTAGTGGCATTATCTGTTTTCTTGGGCGACTTCCGTGGGCTCTCCTCGGCCTTTGGCGCTTCTTGGCTTTCCCCGGCACTGTCTTTTCCCTCATCCGCCAAGTCGCCTGAAATGGGTGCGGGATATAGTTTAATGACACACTCAGGAGGTGCGGATACCTCGCCAAACAGGTCAAGCGCGTCTCTGAACCTCTTTTCGTCGAAAAGTCTCCTAGCCTTCTGCATCTTGATGTCGCGCAAGCGCCCCGCTTTGTTTTTGATAAGGGTCTCTTCTATCATCTCCAGTAGGCTGATCGCCTCATCAAGTTGATTGCCTTGAACCAAAGCATCAACCTGGACATCGTAGTTGATTCCTCGCATCCTCCAGATGACGCGCTCGCTGGCAACCAGGAATCCTTTCCCTTGGTGGGCGAGGCTGATGTTTGGATTCGGGACCTGAAGCAACACAGCGCCGGGAAGGTCAATTGATTGAAGTAAGGTGAGCGTCTGCGGGTTGCGAACTTCCAATACGCCTTTGGTAGCTTCTTGCAAGGCGAGCAGGTAAGGATATGAATAACCAACCGCGTGAGGAGCCACGTGCCATGGAACCTGACGTCGACGAATTGGATCTCCATTACGATCGATGAAGTGGGTGTTCACATCTTTCGCCAGTAGCATTTCATTCTCTCCAAGCCCGGTTGCTAGTGGCGTTGGGACTGTCGAACCCATACCAATGTAGCTCATCGTCCCTCCCAATCTACTACTTTCTTGTCCGGGACCACCGCCAATGCTGCCAGGACCGATAATGTCCTTCACCTGGTGGGATTCAACGTCGACGAGGACATAATTCGCGCTAAGCCCAGCAACAACCTTTGTACCAGTTGCCCAGGTCAAGCATTTAATACTGTGGGATAGAGTAATCTCAGCTGCGTCCCCATCGAGCTCTCCATCATGCCATGCCCAGATTAGCAGCCTTCTCTTCACTGCAACGGCTAACCTGCTGACAAGGGTGGGCACACTAGTTGAGGAGTCCTTCACAATGTTGCTTGTGGCGGCAAAAGTGCTCGCTCCTTTCGATTTAGTGAGCTGTTCATTGAGTTCGTACGTGCCCAGGTCATGAATAGAGACAAGACCATTGCTTAAAGATATCAGGATATTCGCCTCGCGGAAAACAGCCAGTTGTTCAATCTTGTATTTTGAAAACTTCTCATACTCCCGAAGTAGTTCAGAGGACTTGGACGCTGCAGCCGACCTGTAGCTAGTAGGACCGTGTTCTTCATGATCGTCGCCAAGTTCAGTGGAACACACGGGAGGAGGTTTGACTCGGTAGATGCGGAGGGAGCCAGTATTCAGGCCGACAAGCAGCTGGTCGCTGTGCGAAAGTATTGACTCGATCTTCGACTTGTCGCGCTGCTTCAGCTCGACAATTGGCTGAGCAGTAAATGCTGAGAGCATGGAGAGTGGCTCGCGCGTTCAGCGCAAGACGCTTAGCTGGAAAATGAACCTCGAGGTGGTTGGAGGATCACCAGAGTTGCAGGGAGTGAGGGAAGTCGCAAGTCTACGAGGTACCTTGAACTCACTCCATGCGGAGTGCTTGCGCGGAGAAAGGAAGTCTCCGATTGGCGGCCTAGAGCTCCTAGTCATACGCCACTCACTCTCAGGTCGTGCAAGTCATGCTAGGTACGGTACAAGGTTGACAAGGCTAACAAGGCTGCGAGCAGCCATTGCCTTCGCTGTATTTATACCTTGTACAGATGGATGAAAATTGGGCTTGGCGGGTCTGCACGACAGTTGTTCACGGCTGTTTCTGAAGCGCTGTTGGTGGTATTAGGCTGCTAATGCTATCAACCCAAATGAAGATGTACATATGCCACTGCACATAAAACGTCCAATGTATCCAGCCAATCTGCCTCCCAGTTCAACCGTGAACGACTTCCGAAAAAAGAGCTCGACCGCCATGGAGCTGCTGAAGCATCAAATTGCAGGGCTGGTCGGGAAACATCCATTCATCCCCGCGAGCATAGGAGAAATCGCATTGTCAAGGCGCAATGTAAGGATTGGTGCATTCGTGGTCAGTCATCGCTCCCTGAGACGTGACTCTTGCGTGCATGTTCCACTTCGTCTTCTTCCGCAATTCTGAGGGTATCCTCAATCAAAGCCATATCTGCGTCAATATTTGCCATGATATCGTCCAAGTCGCCCAGACTTTGCATCTCTTTTTTGGTCTTATCAACCAGCTTTTGGAGAGAATCATTTTCTTTGGCCAGGCCTTTTGTCCCTTTCCTCACGTCATCCTCCTGCTTTGTCAGGACCTTTGCATTGTCGTGAATACTCTTTGCCCGAGCATGCAGCTCAGCATCAATGCTTGCCCCAACAGCGTTCAGTGAAGCCGTAAATGCGTCTTTGGCTTCTTGTGTGCGTTGCGCTGACGATGCCGGCGGCCTTGGCGACCCAGATGCTACTGAGGCCACTGTAGACATGATTTCAGATGGATGGACTAGGTGAGCCTCGATTTTGACGTCGTTGCGTTCGATCGATGGTAAGTTATAAGTCTTGGTTTCAAGATTTTACTGTGGCAACAAAATATGGTTCACGGATTAAATTCGGAGAAGGACTCGGAGACGAAATAGTAGCGAATGATCTTTCATTGACCATTTGTAGTCTTGAATATCTGCTGCCCCTATGGAGCAAAGATTTAACGCACTTCGTCGCTTGAATTATCAACAACTCTTTCACGTCGCAGATCTACCTCATGGGGGGTTTAGCCGGAGGGGAAAGATGTCTTTCAGAACTTGCTGAATCAAGGTCGGCTATCACTTCCATAGCGTCTATCCGTCATCCCCTCTGCGTCCACGGCAACTCAAGCCTGTGCATTTCTACAGCAAGCTGGAAAAGGTAGTCCAAACTCTCGCACTGTGTTTTGGCTTTGGCGACGTCACTACCCCACACGTATCTGACCCGAGATCAGTGACCCGTCACTCATTCAGTCGAGGTACTTACATTCCGTGTCGTCGTACTAGCACGGCGCATGTGTCCGGGAATTGCTCCATGGCTTTCTCCAAACTCTCCGTTAAATCCTCTTCGAAAGGGGTATTCTCGATGATCGGCACCCGCAAAGTATCATGGAAACCATGCATTCCTTTCCCTGGGCCCTTTGGGACACCTTTGATCTGCTCAATGTCGCTGATTTCGAAACAAGCCCCCTTGCCATGAAACTTCTCGACGAGCAAAGTAACCAAAACGGCCCATTGAGAATGCGTGTGAATACAACAGCCGGCGCCACGTTCAAAAGCGGCCAGAAACAAGGGCGTGCATGCCGATGGCTTCAGATCCAAGGGTTTTCGAATATATCGTCGTGCAGTTGGAGGATATTTGGGAGTCGGATATGAAAGAACAAACATGTTCTCAGGTCTCATGAGCTCTTTCTGTACACCCGACGGGGCAACATAGACGTGTTCATCCTTGCGAATGCTTGTGCCGCCCCCAGTTCCAGTGACCCATCCTTGAAAGGGAGTCAGTATCTCCGGCCCAAGCAGACCGACTCCCGCCTACAACCTACCGAGGGAGTAGAACTGTTTGCAGAGTCTGGGGATCAGATTCGCAGGATGATCTGGATCGTCAGATTGGACCAGATGGTCATTGTTTTGGTCCGCCATTGCAGTGGTGGTAGAGATTCCTTCGGTGCAATCTTGGGGGAGAAAAGAATGGAAGAGAAACCGGATGAAGTTTCAACGGGGGCCGGCCAGCGCTGACACGTGATCCCCCGCCTTCTGGGACCAATTACCGAGTATTTGTGCAGGAGCTTCACCGATCTTGAGTGACATTTGAAATTCCGCCTGGTGGAGTTCACTCGTAAAGGACACCTTGCTTTGATCCCTCGAAGACAATTGAAATATAACCACGATCAGGAGTGGACCCTGCTTTTCTCAATCTTCTCCTCCTCCATCCTCTTCTTTAATCTGCTTCCTGCACGTCTTGCCAATTGATTGTTGCTCTGTCTTCAGTGCCTGTGGCCCAGCATGCGGTTCAATGCAGCAATCGCCCCGGCCTTATATGCTTCGGCTCTTCTCGCCGGCACAGCATTTGCGCAAGAGGAGGCTGAAACATCCACGAGTGCAGTTGACCGGCCCACCTTTACCGTGAGTTGCCCTTGTCTATCAATGTACATTCCCACTGATCTTGCGACTAGCCCTCAAGCCTGAAGGCGCCCTTCCTAGAACAGTTCACCGACGATTGGGACACAAGATGGACTCCCTCGCATGCCAAAAAGCAAGACTCCAAGAGCGATGAGGATTGGGCATATGTCGGTGAATGGGCCGTCGAGGAGCCGATTGTCCTCCCAGGCATTGTTGGCGACAAAGGCTTGGTTGTGAAAAACGCAGCCGCTCACCATGCTATTTCAGCAAAGTTTCCCTCCGTCATTAACAACAAGGGCAAGACTCTTGTCATTCAATATGAGGTTAAGCTCCAGAATGGCCTTGAGTGCGGAGGTGCATACATGAAATTGCTCCGCGAGAACAAGGAGCTACACGCCGAGGAGTTTTCCAATGCCTCTCCCTATGTGATCATGTTCGGTCCCGACAAATGTGGAGCTACCAATAAGGTGAGTTAGGGTACTTGTTTGTGCATGTTGTTCTGACGCTGTCCTAGGTCCACTTCATCTTCCAGCACAAGAACCCCAAGACGGGCGAATATGAGGAGAAACACCTCAAGAGCCCTCCTCAAGCCAAGACTGGCAAGATGACCACACTCTATACCCTCATCGTCAAGCCTGATAACACTTTCGAGATGTTGATCGACAACAAGTCCGCAAAGAATGGAAGTCTACTGGAGGATTTCTCTCCTGCAGTCAATCCTCCAAAGGAAATTGACGATCCAAAGGACAAGAAGCCGGATGACTGGGTTGAAGAAGCTCGCATTCCCGATCCTGACGCCGTCAAGCCAGAGGATTGGGATGAGGATCAACCTTATGAGGTGGTCGACGAGGATGCTGAGAAACCCGAGGACTGGCTCGAGGATGAACCTGCAACAATTCCAGACCCAGAGGCTGAAAAACCAGAAGATTGGGATGAGGAAGAAGATGGTGACTGGATTCCTCCTCAAGTGCCCAACCCCAAGTGTGATGAAGTGTCTGGCTGCGGCAAATGGGAGCCTCCGATGAAGAAGAACCCTCTCTACAAGGGCAAGTGGACTGCTCCATTCATCGACAACCCTGCCTACAAAGGAGTTTGGGCGCCACGCAAGATCCCCAACCCTGATTACTTTGAAGACAAGACTCCTTCCAACTTCGAGCCCATGGGAGCAGTAAGTGCCTAGCTTTCATCCTTAGAGCATCCATTAACTTTCCCCGCCAGATCGGTTTCGAAATTTGGACTATGCAGTCCGATATCACTTTCGATAACATCTACATTGGTCATTCCGTCGAAGATGCAGCAGCGTTCCGCGCCGAAACTTACGATGTCAAGCGGCCCATTGAAGAAGCCGAGGAGGAGAAGAGCAGGCCCAAGGCCGAAGACCTGCCCAAGTCGCCCTCCGACCTCAAATTCATAGATGACCCGGTCACTTTTATCAAGGAGAAACTCGATCTATTCATTACCCTGGCCAAGAACGACCCGGTTGAGGCCATCAAGTTCATGCCCGAGGTTGCAGGCGGAATCGGAGGCGCTTTGGCGTTGGTGATTGCTATCGTCATTGGCCTCACTAGCATGGGCGGCTCTTCAGCTCCGAGCAAGGAGAACGCTCAGAAAGGTGTGCAGAAGGCGAAGGATACTGCCACCGAGGTTAAAGAGAAGGTGCAGAATGCCGCAGCGAGTGGTGCGGAGACGATAAAGGCTGAGGCTAGCAAGAGAACTACTCGATCAAGCGGCAACTCAGAGTAAACGGGTGCTAGCAAGGAAATTCCACCATTGGACCACATGATATGCCACTCGAATATCTCACCGCCAGACAAGGAATTGATGCGCTTAGGTTCAGCCACAAAGGAGTCAATTTGAGGCGGATGACCGCAAAACTACAATACATTGCAGCAGGGACGAATGTTGAAGGAGTTTTCTACCGGGAATTGTTTTAGTGTACATCAGATCAAAGCCTACCCGATCAAGTCATCGTGCCTGCTTAGCTGCGCCGCTACAGGGGGCATAAAATCAGTGGAAGGAAGTTTACGAGATTATGCAGCATCAAAGTTGACAGTTTTTTTTTTTCGTTGCAAAACTAGCTATGACCGTCCGCAGTTCTCTTGAGATTTGTTCCATCCATCAGTCGACAAGCCGTCATGATTATTTCAGGCAGCTTACAGAATGGTAGAGACAGTTCCAAAAGGGCAGGCAATACTTCAACGAATCCCAAAAACCAGTGACATTCTCAAGCGCGCAATATCAAATATGCCCAAGCACCGTCTTTCCGAGACCGCACACACTTTTCGCGTTGATGTTCCTGCCCTAAATGTTGTTTCGCGCTGGTTATCAATTTGTTCGTTTTGTTCATTTGTTGAGGCTTTTGGTTCGAGATGCAATAACCACCTTTGCAAATTATCACCAAGCTTTTGTCCGCTTTGATCTCGGCGTCTCTCATCTCTCCTCCATTCGCCTTAAGCTCCCCTACGAATGCGTCGGCATAGAAACCTGCTTCTCGGTAGCCAAGGCATCCTCGGCCCTCCACAAACTTGTCACCGTTTTCCACTGGGTGTAGAACCTGATGCCATCCTTGCCGTAGAAGTTCGCGAGGCCTGTCCCTGCCACGCTCTTTTTGTTACCGGTGAAGCTGAACATCGGGAGCGGCACGGGAATAGGAACGTTGATTCCAATTTGTCCTGCCTCAAGTTCTTTTTGAAAGAGGGAGGCGGTGGGACCGGAGCGCGTGAACACGGCGGCGCCGTTGCCATAGGGGTTGGAATTGATCAGGTCAATGGCTTCCTCAGTCGTGGCAACGTTCAAACAGACGAGGACAGGGCCGAATATTTCTTCTGTGTAACATTTCATATGCGGCTTGACATTGGTGATAATGGTTGGACCGACCTAGCACGAATTAGTATAGCTTTCATAGATTGGGAGAGTATTTGGGACCTACCCAGTTGCCGTTGGGATATTTAGGTGGGTGTTTACCCCGTCCATCAAGCAAGATGGTTGCGCCTTCATCTTGGGCGCTCTGGATCAAATCTTCGACGCGTTTCTTGCTCTGTGGGCTGATCAAGGGACCGAGATCGGCATCGGGTTCGAATCCGCCATTGATGGTTAGCTCCTTCGCACGCTCGGCAAGTTCTGGCAACCAGTCTTTCGTCTCGCCCACCATCACGAGTGTGCTAAGTGCCATGCACCGTTGTCCCGCAGCGCCGAAGGCGGCACCGGCGATGGCGTTCAATGCGTGATTCTTATTGCAGTCCGGAAGTACTGCAGCGTGATTCTTTGCGCCCAGATTGGCTTGGACTCGCTTTCCCTGTGCGCAACCTCGAGTATAAATATACTCACCGGCACGGTTTGAACCCACGAAGGAAATAGCCTTAATGGCCGGCTCATCGATGATAAAGTCAACAGTCTTGGCCGAGCCATGGACGATGTTAACCACTCCATCGGGGAATCCGGCTTCCTTGCATAATTCAGCCAGGATCATAGCAGCACCAGGGTCTCGCTCGCTGGGCTTGAGGATCAAGCAGTTGCCCGTCACCGTCGCTACAGGAATGCTCCAGAGCGGAATCATGGCCGGAAAATTGAACGGGCAGATGGCTGCTACTACGCCCAGCGGTTCACGGTACGAACGAGTTTCCATGTCTTTTGCCACCTCGATGACTTCGCCAGTGAGCTGGGTGGTAATGCCGCAGGCGGTTTCACAGACTTGCAAGCCACGAAGGACGTCGCCTTTGGCATCTGCGAATGTCTTGCCTTGTTCAAGTGTGATAGAGGCGGCCAATCGATCCATATTCTGGCGAATCAAGTGAGTCAACTTGAAGATGATTTGCTGTTTGGAAATAATGGATGTAGCTCGCCATTGCGGGAAGGCTTTCTCGGCAGACGCCACAGCCGCCTTCAGTTCGGCATCGGTGGATTGAGGCACTCGAGTGACGAGGTTATTGGTGGCAGGATCATGGAGGTCGATCCATTGCGAGGTTTGGGAGGGGACGAACTGGTTGTCAATGAAGTTGTGCGTGTCAACAATGTTGGTGATCTGTTCGTGAGAGGTGGGATAGTCGGCGACGGCGGTGCCGGTGGCGGCAAGATGGCGCGTAGTGGCATGAAGTCGCCGCCTGGCAATCTGCTCGTTTGGCGACATTCTGAGAGATGCAGAGATCTGGGGCGCAGCTGATGCAGTGGTCCGTCGACCTGTCAATGCGGGGACAGCACGTAGAAGGGACCGACGAGCGGCCATTTCAGGCAAAAATGGGGGAAACGAAAGACAGATTCGGAACCTAGCGTGCCCTTGTCACCAACGGGTTGGAAAAATCTATTCTCATGCAAGCAACCAGCAAATTAATAGAGGAGGGGGATGGTGGAAGAACAAGAAGCCATTAGAAATTGCGGAGAAGCTTGTAAAGGGACGAGAAATTGCCGTGTCCGAGGTTCACTGTCAGGCGGCCTACCATTGGCGGGGTTGGCGGCCTCGGCGGAGCGCGGGGGAGAAGGCCGAACTGTAGGGGCGGAAAGGGCGGTCCGGAGGCGGCTATTGTCGGCCTTCTCCGGTGGTTACTATCTGACGAACTTGGAAGGGATTACACTAATTAACATCCCAATAACTCAGCTTTTGTGCTTTTCTATCACATCGATCACTGAATCCAGACCTCAGCAGTTGCTTGGGTAGAGCACACTGTCTAGGCTATGGTACTCCTCCTTCAGGGTCCGTGGAGCCGTGAAGCGCATCAACATGTTTGCACTTCCAGCCTTGTCATTGGTGCTGCTGCATCTTGCTCCTCCGAAAGACTGTTGGCCAATGACAGCTCCGGTTGTCTTACAATTGATGTAGAAGTTCCCAGCAGCATAACGAAGTCTGTCCTCGGCCGACCGGATCGCCACTGGATCTGTTGCGAAGATGGATCCAGTCAGCGCAAACCCGCCTCCTTGTTGGTCAATCTTGGCCAAGAGTGAGTCAAAGTCCGCGTCGCGATAGACATAGGCAACCAGGATGGGGCCAAAGAGCTCTTGGTCGAAGAGAGGATGATCCAACGTCTTTGCAGAGTAAACGGTGGGTTCAATGAAAAATCCCTTGCTCCCGTCATATCTGCCCCCGGCGACAAGCTCCAGCCGACTGTCTGTGTTGGCAGCATCAATTACTCTAGTAACTTTATTAAAGGCTGTTCGATGTATGACAGGGCCGGTAAAGCTTTCGAAATCCTCGGGTGGACTCACTTTGACCTGTTTCAGCTCGTCTCATCTCGGAGAAGAACTGCTGAGCACGATTTTCCGGAATATAGATTCGCGAGCAAGCTGAGCACTTTTGGCCTGCGTACTCAAATGAGGCACGGATAGTATGTTTGACATCATTGCTGATATCGGCCGAAGGATGAATCAAATGGAAATTCTTTCCCGATGTCTCCGCAACTAGTCGTGGAAAGTCACGATATTTTCTTTCCTTCACGCCGTCTGCTATTTTGCCATACAGACTCCGGAACACGTCTGATGACCCGGTGAAATTGATAGCTGAGAGTTCTGAATGCGCAAGAGCCACTCTAGTGATCGTTTCGGCATCGCCACCAATGAATGGGACAACGTTTGGCGGGAGGCCTGCCTCCCGAAGGATTTTATAGACCAGGAAGTTAGCATATATGTTGGAAGGGGATGGTTTCCACAGGACGACGATCCCCAGGAGAGAAGGACCTGATACGAGGTTTCCGCCGATGGCTGTGAAGTTGAAAGGTGAGATGGCGTAGACAAAGCCTTCCAATGGACGCCAATCGGTGCGTCTAGATTATTCTTTGGTGGGCCTTTTTTGTAGTGAAAAGTGGATCGACTCAACCTGCTTGCCCGCGCTCATTCAGCTTAGGTTGCCTGGAATAGATCTCCTCAGCGAACGAGACATTGCATCGGAAGAAGTCAGCCAGCTCTGCGGCAGCATCAATTTCGGCCTGCCAGGCGTTTTTCCCTTGTCTAAGCATTGTTGCTGCCATCAATTCGAATGTATACTTTTCAGAAACCAGTTCCGCTGCTCTGAGAAAGACCGCAGCTCGGTCTACGAAGGGCATGTCTTGCCATGCCTTCTTCGCCATTAACACCGCCTCGATTGCAGCTGACACTTCCGCTGCTGTTGCTGGGGTATACTTGGCGAAGATTGACGAGATCTCGGAGGGCATATACATCTCCGAATCAGACGGGCTGGGTTGCTGTGCTTCTTCCTGTCCATTTTTTATTGATGGTACCCGAAGTGGAAGTTTCTGCCGCAAATCCTGGACCGCCGCGATCAACTTCTCTCGCTCCAGGGATGACGGTGTATAATGTAGCTGAATATGTGTCAGTTACGGTTATATAGTCTTTAGAGGAGCGTGTTCTCACATTTGGCTCGTTGAAAGGCATTGGGGTTTTGTAGGTCCCAGCCGTAGACAGCAGCCTGCTCCAGTGAAGAAAATTCCAAATTGGCAGATGTGCGATTCAGTTAAACGAGCGCTTTCGTGTGATCGATAGGAAGGTACTTAATGGGGGAGCAGTGCAGATGGATATTTCAACCTGAAAATCCCTTCCTCAGGTCAGCAACATCCACTATCACAAATAAACGGCCTATTGGCCGAATTGGATGAAGGCCTTCGGCTTGTCATTGATCTCGTGCCGATACCTTGCCAGAGACACGGTCACCGGCCGATTCCAGCTCATCTAGCGAGATCCCCTATTCAATGAGGCTCGCCGAAATTAGGAGACGACACGGGGTAGATATTGAGAATCCAATGGGTTTCCGGGTGCAATTCTCGGCAAGATAGCGTCCCGGGCACGGTAAGGCCCATTGTCAGTCGAGCCGAATCGGAAAGGCTGCCGTAGCGGCATATAATACATACTTTGAACAGGTTGAGCTAAGATTGGGTTAGCGGTTCGGTTTTCTGTTTGTGTCATAGAAGACATCTGTCGGGCCTTGTCCTCCGTATGAGAATCAGCTGACCCTGTTTGCTAGAAGTCCAACTTTCCATCGTTCAAACTCCATACCCATTTCGTAACAGTGTTTTCTACACTTCGGGGCTTTGTATAGAGAAAGAACACTCTTTCGCAACGAATTAATGATCGGACAGTGCAATTATATTTGGAAATCTTAACAGAAATGATCGTCTTAGTGTTATTTTTTAGGAGAGGCTAAAGCTTTGATGAAGGCTAGGAGGGGAAGAGATGAATTTAGATATTTTAGTTTCAATTTGGGCACAGCTATACAAATCTACCAGGACCGTCTGATAGCGTTTGCTCCATGACCACGCAACCATCTACTCTTTGTCCATATGCTCCACTTTGGCGACAGTCTCTAGCTTACCATAACTGTACGTAGGTTAAGAATCTCCTCCATTTGCTCAACTTGTAGTACTCATCGAGCTGGTTGATCTCTTCGATGGCCAGAGTTCTTCGACCAGTCATGCAGTCTGCAATTTTAGCATCTCGTCACGGTGTCCTGAAAATTATCTTATAACCGATTGTGAAACCCGCAATTACACAGACTCCGATGATGTATTCGAAAAAGTTAGAAGGTGTGAACCCGGCACCACTCTGCGCGTTACAGTTAGCATCTGCTCTATAATGGCCTTGAGCATTCTTTGCCAGCACTAGGGGTCCCAGAATCAAGAAAACGTAAATCGTATTTGCCACTAGATCGATGCCAGCGGCAATGCAGCAGCCAAGGAGAAGGGGTGAGATCGTTATGAGCCAGCCCGGTGCCAGAGGCCACAAAGACGACTTCCACGCATATAGCTCTTTGAAAAGGGCATCGTTCTGTGCCTCGAGAGCGCAATGAAAGCGCCTATTAGTAAAGGCAATAATGAAGTATGAGGCACTGGTGATGGAGATCGACTAGTTCAGCGCCGTGAGACCACCAGCTATCGAGAGATTAATTTGATTCTCAAATTGGAAATGGGGAGGCAGCATCACTTACAGCTCAACTGAATGTAACCTAGGAGCACTGGCGTGACGCAGGTGATTAATATAGCCCCATCTCGGTCGGCCCTGGGAATCCACTCGTGCGAGAAGTTCAGGAATCAATTTCCTGTGTGCCAGAGTCCTGAGGACTCTCGAAGAAATGTAAACGCTTTCAGCAGCGATGGCGAGAACGCCACACATCATACCGGGATTGAGAAGAGAAACTATGCCCGGAATGCCAGAATCTTGAATCGCAATGACGAACGGTGAGGCTGCGATCCCTGATCCACCTAGCAATTGTGGATCATTTGACGGCACTAGAACGGTGATAAAACCGATGCTTATCATGTGGATGGAGTTGACTCGAAATGGCACAAGTTTTGTTGCATGTGCCATAGAAAACCGAGGGCTCTTAGCTTCACCGCCGATGATACCAATGAAAACTTGGTCACCGACAACCCATGTTGCGAGCAAAGCGGCATTTGCAAACCCCTGCAAGTATGGGCCAAAGTCTTCCACAACTTAATGGTCTGAACTCACTGCAAATCCGTTCAAAAAGAGGCGTGTTCCGTCCACGTCTCTCCGTGATGAACGTAACCCTTCTGACCCAGCACCAAGTGCAAGAGCGAGAGACAAGGTAATGATGAGGAGGAACACGAATATTAATCAAAGACGTAACATGTTCGAACTAGGCGAACGTGGTGTTAGGAAGAAGGAATATGACCATGCAAGCGACAAGAAATATAGAAACTGAAATACATGGATTAATAGATTGAGGGATAAAAGGGGGATTCTTGGTAGATTCTTACTTGTCGCAGCTTCAAGGAAAGCCCCTTCAGCCCAGAATTGGATTAACACGTTGAAAAAAACCTGCTTCAGTTGCCACAATAGCAGTCCATCCTGTTTCGCGTCAGCAACGTATACAATCCGGCAGCGAAAGCATAGTCACTAATCTAACCACTCTGCGAACCCAGCACCGAAGGCGAGAGCAGGGTTAACCCATCTATCTGCATAGTCGATGTAATTGCCCGAGAGAGAGAAAGCTATGGTCATCTCTGATAATGATTGCAGGACGGCCTAGACGCAGCCGTAGACTAGCAAGTATGCAATTACTATATTACCTGGGCCGCCTGAGGCCAGAGCCTTGCCTGTGGCAATAAAAAGACCTCTGCCGATGTTGGATCCGAGGGAAATTATCTCAATACATGGTCAGCACGGGAGAGCACTCTAGAATTGAATTGTGCGGACGTGGACTTGGAGAGGAGTGAACGAACGATGAAATTGACCGTTTCTGTTCTCCTGGAGTTCGATCAGGCTTGCATCGCCGAAGCTTGCCACTGGCCGTGGAATCTCGCCCTCTTTCCGAATCGTTTTCTTGTCGCACCATTTAAGGTCTTCCGGGCTTGCAAAGGGCATCTTCGGGACAAGAAGCAAGGAGTCAACCGCGAAGTTCAGTTTGCTCGTTCCTAAAGACAATAGAAACTGTCAAAGCCTGACTTGCAGCACAAGAAGAGAACTGAGGAGGGAGTTGGGACGGAGGAGACCGTCTTGATTCTTATTGAATCACACTACACGAAGGATGGCACTAGGATATATATGGGTAATATCTGATATCGCTCAATAGCGACCTTTAGAAGCTGACAGCTGTTTGCTCATGATCGACACCAATTTACTCGTATCCTCGATTCCACCCCCGTAGTGAGATTCTTGTTAGTGAGCGTCCGGTTTGAGATAACTGGAGATCTAGAGTCTAGGATTTAGACCATGGGAGTATCGGCTCAAGAAGCTCTCCCGATTAGATAAAGGGAGATGCGTATCTAGGTATTCGCCGAGTTGGGAAACCGGCTTCCTTGCCGAAGGCACGGCTTAAAAGAACTATGGGTGGTATCGCTAAAGGCGTCTCTACTGGTATATGGTCAGATTATTTCGATCTTCGGTGACGGTGGGTGATCACGGCTGTGTTCACTCTGGATTTCCCGGGACTTCCATCCGTACATTTGACAGCTACATGGTTCGTTTTGTCGCGATGCCAATCAGTTGATGTGAGTTACGTGCTGTTGATGGGATCATGATAAGTCCAAAGTGGGCCACCTGCTAACGCGACAACTTTCTAGATCAGGCTAATCACAACGGTTGTCATGTAATATCGGATGCTGTCCCGAGTCTTGTACCCCGCTTGACTTGCCCGAAGTTCAGACGTCCATGTCCATCCGCCTCCAACCTCATTTACCCCCTTCTCCTCGATCCCGGCACCCGTACCGGGCTTGCGGGATTCTGGAAGACTTCGTCGCTCAGCGACAATGGAACGCGTTGCGACAGAGAGCCAGCGCGAGTCAAAGAAACGTGCACCCAAAGCGTGAGCCGTGTTCTGTCCTAGTCCCCCACCTAAAGTCTACTGACTTGTCGCGTTCAAAGTTGCCGACTCTGCCGCCGACAAAAGATCAGATGCACGGGCTCATGTCCTTGTGAAGCATTCTCTAAAAGGAAGTTGACATGTCAATTCGATGACCATGCGCAAAAAAATCTCGTGACAAGGGGGTTGGTGCTGGAGCGATTGCAACTTCCATCTCCTGCTAACGATTTGTAGTTATATCAGCGACCTCGAGAAACGAGTAGCGTCGTTTGAGCGACAAAGCCGGCGGGCTCCTGAAGCTCTAAGCATCTCTGATGAACAAGCAACTCCCGATGGGACGTTAGAACTTGATAAGGGGTCGCGATCATCTATGTCGACCCATCTGACAATTGCAAGAAGACGACGAAGCCGACAAAACCGGCAGCAAAGTGGGTGGACACAATCAAAGCCTCCTCCAACAAGCATAAATCTCGTATTCTCAATCTCCGCCGAGGCCGCAAGAGGAACCCCGTTCTCCTCGTACTTCCCCAGGAGCATCAATCACATGAACCCCCTGGCGCTTGGCTTCCCCTGTTACTTTCCCGATAAAAGCGGCAGGCCAGTTAGTCCCACGTTGAACCGTCAGGCTGAAGCTTATTGACCCCATGTTATCTAGTCTACCTAGGAACCTCATCCAACTGGTCATTTGGACGAAGAGTGCTTGCGATGGCGCATGAACGAGTGATGCGGACCCCTCTTCCTCCCGACAATCTGCTGTTTGAAGGTAAACCCTACGAACTAGGGTGGGATGGAAAGAGACACAACTCGCCTGAATCTGTATCTGACGCACCTGCCCTTCCATCGGCGGATTTCGCAATGTACTTCATCAACGCGGTCAAATTCCGCTGTGGTCATGAATCTCCAACGCACACTCAGCAATCACCTAGCCTTTGGTACATCCATTATCTTCTAATTCTTGCCTTCGGGAAGGCGTTTGTGGTCCAGCGTAGCAAAGGTCCCAAGCCACCAGGCGCCAATCTTTTCGTCCTGGGAATTAAGGTTATGCCGGATCTTGCCTTCTCCTGTGCTGATCCCATCGAGGCGATACAAGTCTTATGCTGTGCCTCTCTCTACTTACAATGCCTCGATTTCCGTGGGGCCGCCTACCGTATAGTACGACTTTCTTTGATATGCTCTCCTAACATGCTGACACATATTAGATCGGTCAAGCTCTTCGTATGGCCTTGGAAAATGGTATGCATACAGAAATGCGCAGTCAGCAAGTTGACAGTGACTTGGCGCAAAGGTGTCGCAAAGTCTGGTGGGCGGTTTATGTTCTAGATCGCCAGATGTCTTCGCTTGTGGGTGTCCCTAGGGGATTGCAGATGAATCGATAAGTGCAGAATTGCCCACCTTCCCTGGTCAACCGCAAAGGTCGACGGCGATGAATATCCAAATAAATCTCTCCAAAGTACTGGCGCAGATTTTGAACAGTAAGTGGGTGCTAAGATACAGACCGGGTGCAATGCTGACGGCAAGCAGCTGTTTACGGAGCTGAAGGGCGGCCGGACAAACGTTTCCTGGCCATCACCAAAGAAGCTTTGGAAAGCGTCGCAAATGTTACCGACCAATTGAATAGCTCTTTTGAAGTTCTGTGAAATGGCTCACGGACCACCATTTCCAGACTATCCGCTTATTTGCACCTCTTGTTTCATCAGGTGCGTCAAGCAAGTTGAGGCCTTGTGGATTTTTGCGGTGTTCTGACGATAATCCAGTGTATCGTACTTGCGACGAGACCGATATTATACACGCTTCTTCAGTCGAAGCTCCGGCAATCGAATATCAACTTAGCTGAATTGCTTCAGTTGGGAAGTGTCTGTACACTACTGCAAATGTGCGTTGAGTCCGATCAGCAGATGATAACCATTCTCTCCGCTTCTGCAAGATCATGGTCTTCTTGGTGAGTCCGCGAACGACTGGAGCAATCCTTAGTGACCAGCTGACAATATGTGACAGAAAGCTTTCTTCCATTTGATCTCGATGCCGCTTTTACCTCGGCAATTGCACTTTTGATGGCAGCAACAGTTGATATCTCTTTGGTCAAAGACTCTCCGTCAAGGTTGGAGTGCTCGCGCACAGTCTTCGACGAGATGATTTCCCGAGGCAACAGGGTTGCTAGGATGATCAAATCAGAGCTCCAACAACTCGAAAGCATCCTGAATCCGCTTTAATCGAATGAGGAGAGCCAGTCTGTTATATTTACTCGCTCTTCAAGCCTTCGTGGTTCTCGCGCGCAGGATGACCGTCAACCTCGCGCTTCTGGCGCCCAACCATCACTGGTACCTTTCCCCCCGCCACCTTACACGGCCTCTTCGCAGCCAACAACTAATGACTTTCCCATGGACGAATTTAACTGGCAGGATGGACTCACGGCGGAGCAACTTTTGAACTTTGCTGACTCAATGGACCTCAGTGCTTTGGATTGGCTGTCTGCGGAAGCGGGACAGTGATTCCAGCTCCCTTGGGAGATATGACTGAATGTTTAGTTACTAGAATTTATGACAGATGCCGAAACCCAAGCCCTGTGGTATCTAAGCAGGAAATTAGTCCAAAAACTTGCAGAGCACGACATTTGAAACCATCGCCGATGATTATGACATTTACTTTTCCCGGCCCGTAACGTAGGAACGAGGCCTCTCCATAGTTCTCGATCGAGTGTGAGATACATATCTTCCGAGAGGGACGTCGGACCATGTCCACTAGATACATCCGCCGCAGCCGAACCCGTCTTTTGCTATTCTCGCTGCCGGGTGCGTCCCCCATCGGCAGGGTGTCCGACCTCTTCCTGCTCTCAATAGTGGTGTAAAGATGCTTTCTCCATAAATCCTCCATAAAAGACAACTTCTAAAATATTGGGATATTCGGCAATGAAATTACTGCTACAAAGATTCTGATTGCTTACCATGGCCCTCCAGCAGGAACATCCCCTTGCCGATTCTGAAGATAAAAAAAATTACTTAGCTGCCCCTAACCGGGCTGCTATGTTCCTGCAGTGACTTTCTTCGATCCTGATACGGATCAACTCTGTCTCGACGCTCAAGCCAAGTACTATTCCTATCTATCACACACGGGTCTCTCTGGGCTTGTCATACTAGGCACCGATGCAGAGACATTCTTGTTGACACGTGAGGAGCGCATGACTCTATTCGAGCTAGCACGGAGATCTGTTCCGAAGGGATACCCCATCATTGCTGGAGTTAGCGGCCATTCGACGGCACAGGTGCTCGAGTTCATTAGCGAGGCATACAATGCCGGTGCCAACTTTGCAATGGTTCTACCTTGCGCATATTTTTGGAAACAGACAACTCCGGCCGTCGTTCGAAGGATTTACCAAGAGGTGGGCTTCAGTTTCTTCGCTGTCAATCATCATCTACAACTTTCCGGCAGTCTGTAACGGCCTGGACCTCGACGCCAACATCATTACGGATATCGTAAAGGAAACCCCCAATGCAGCCGGCGTGAAGTTGACCTGTGGCTCGGTTGCAAAGATCACCTGTCTCGCTTCCAGATTCCCAGCCTCCCGTTTCGCAGGGTTAGGTGGTCAGTCAGATTTCCTAGTCGGTGGCCTTGCTTCGGGAAGTACACTGCCTTTGGAAATGCCTTCCCAAAAGCTGTGATCAGGGTCTATGAACTATGGGCCAGTGGTCAACATGGCGAAGCTCTAGCACTTCAGAAGTTAGTGGCATCGGCCGAGACTGCCACCAAGGCAGGCATTGCGAGTACCAATTGTGCTGCTGCGATTTTCACGGCTCCGAAGGCAGGTATTGCCGATGGTGTGTGCTTGCTCGAGCCTCGAAGGCCGTACGAAGAACCATCCGATGCAGTAAAAAGTGAGTCCAGGCTGTGATGGAGTTGTTGCATCGAGAATAGAAACAGATATTGGCGACGACTCAGTCACATCTATGAACGAAAATCTCGGAAATCCTTTGAGGTATTTGTGTGCATCATGCATAGAAGTGTATAGAAATAATCCATCCGAGACGAAATATACTTGGAATATCACTTGGTGGCATCGGCCATCTCTTTAGAATACCGTACCACGTGTCTCACTGCATCCGAAATGCCGGATCTCACCTTTCCGCGGTCCAGCTGCAACAGAGCATTAATCGTGATGCCCTTGGCGACGGAGATTGTCTCTTTCAAAGATTCAATAGTCATTTTGTCACGCAACAGGGTTGAAGCGGTGCGTAACCATTGAGTTGCAACTCCTAAAGCCATTTGCCGCGCGACATCTTCTGCAACACTTCCATCCACAATCGCGTCGACCGCGACCACTGGAAAAGCATGGCACGCAGCACTCAGCACTATCACTATGTTGATGAGATGCTCCGACACAAGTTGCGTTCGGGCCGACCCGTTGAAAGAGCCAAGCGACCAGATCTCAATCAGGTTGTAGAGATCGCGGTGTCGGCGATCAATGTCATTGATTCAATTATCTGGGTGCCCATACTGGGTATAAGGCGTACCACACGGTTCTCTGGGGTCAGTTCTGCAGCATTGTAGAGTTGCTGAGCCACTTGTAAGGAGGTAATTCCGGCCAATATGGAGAGAACCAGTTTTCCCCGTATGGTTTCCACCAAGGTTGGGCTATTCAAAACCTCAACAAATTGCTGTGGCTGGAAAGCTAAGATTACCACTTCGGAGCCGCGAGCCGCTTCAACGTTGTCCGGAGTAATAATGTCCACCCGGGCTCTCTGAGGGCTAAAAGTTCTCCACGATCGATCAATCGAAGTCTCCGAGCGAGCGCTGATAGAGAATCTGATATCCATATACAGGACTGTCGAGTCTGTTGATGATACCAAGCAGTAGTGCCGTTCCCATAAACCCTGAACTTCCCGTCAAAATCTGGGTCTTTAGGGTTGTTCATTTAACATGCCACAGCCGATGATGGCGACACGGAACTTTTTAGTGGCGGGCTGAGTCCACATTTTCGCGAGTGTTGAGGATACAGATTCGAATTTGCAGGAAAGTGTGATATTAATCTATGGTGATCATTCTTGACTTTTGAATCAGGTTTCGAATTAGCATCAAACGTATTCATGACTTGGCAAAGATCGTGCTACCCCTAGCAAGTGCAGGGCGCCTTCCCGTAATACGCCGCTGTCAAAACCCGGCTACCGATCCGAGATTTACAAAAAGTGATGATCGAAGTGTAGTACTCGATGATCAATCAAGAAGGATATCCAAGACGAGTCGTGAAAATAGCGCCAGAGGATTTGAGTCTCGAAATTTTAATGCAAGATAAGCGAACCGAATACTCTTCAGCCGGGAAAGAAAAGTATTCAGCCGTGTCTCAGGAGGTAACTTAGGGTAGACAGTATCAATTTGTTGATAATCTCTATTTCCAATGTCCACAGACACCTTCTTCAGCTTTTGCCTACACAGGGTCCTTCTCTGGTGTCGGCAATGCCCACACAACTTCGTAGTTACCGACGTTCTCACCCCCTTTTGCAAAATCCCAAGACCCGCCCTCGGGGTATGGGCCGATCATGGTAAACCCAGACAGCTGCAAGCTTTCTAAAGTACTCCTCGTATGATCCGCCGTAATATGGTGGCTGTCACTAGGGGTTAGGAGCTTAAATTCAGCACGTGGCTCAGTATTGAATGCCTTATGAGTGACGCGGGTGGGTATCACAAAGACATCGCCAGGGCGTGCCTGTAGTTCAATTCCCTCATCCTCTTTGCCAGAACCAAATGTATTCTCATCTAGATCAGGAACAGTGTCTGCCACACCAAACCGGATGGTTGCACTGCCCGAGAGCCGTTTGTAACATGATATAACTCTCACATGACGGAAGGAGCACGGCTTGGCATGACCTATGTTAGTTCTCGTCCCCCTCTTCTTCCTTCGTCTTTCGGACTTACTCTTGCAGAGACAGCCTACTAGATAGACAACACTTTGAGCTATTACAGCCATTCCTTGCCATTGAGACGATACACTCTTGTTCCCGTACCACATTCCCGAGATACGACACCGTTGGTGGCAGCTGATATCTTTTGACTTCAATCATTATGGAGCCACGCCCAATCCACTAAGGAAAGTAGTTTTCAGTGCTCGCTTTTTCTGCTCAGGCAGGTTGAGAAAGAAAATCGAACACGGAATTTATAACAAGTAGGTCGCCAAGCGGGTTCTCGGGAAACGGACCGAGTTGTGCAAAAAACCCGGTTCGTGTACCAAAGGCTGGCAGGCGGGAAATGGTCTCCGCATATGGACACAGGTCGAAGCCAGTGTCATAGATTCTAACGGCCTAGTAAGGAGTTTGGGGCTTCAGTACTATGCTTAGACAAAGCAAGATGCATTCAGAACACGCGGACTGTGAATATCCCCCGAGCCCCTATGCAAGAATCCTCCTCACATTTTCAACCCTGGATGCACGATAAGCACTCCACCAGAACACCGCAGAAAAGGTGAACTTACAAGTACATCGCGGACGTCCCTGAGGACGATATTATCGTTCTCAACAAGGTGGGGCAGAGACCCCGAAAAAATACTTTGAGACCTCCACTCCTCCGTGTCCACGGTCTCTGCCCAAGCATTCTTGTAGCGTCGATGTTCTCCAAATCCATCACTCTGCAGCTTTGTTTTCACAGTGTCCAATGGGTAGCTTCCAATCCAGAAAGCCACACCTGACAAAGCGCCGCAGGAAGCAATAATACACGTCGATAATTCGTCCCGTTTTCTTTCTTTTGCCGTGCTGATTACCCTCATACAAGCTTCGAAGGCGGTGAAGTAGAGACCATATGCTTGAAATTCGCGCAAAACAGCAGTATTTTGCCCTCGAAATAGCCCTTACGCACAAGCAGTGGCAATGATCTGTCTCATGCAGTCCCATGGGGGGGAGTAGAGGCGGGCTCTTCCATGGGACTGCGTTTGAAGTCTGATCCTGATGTGCTGCACAGGGCCTGAAATTATACTGTTCGCAATCCCGGCTGTTCCACCAGCTAGGTATAAACCCAGAATGGACAGATTCAGTCCAGCTCCAAGGGCTTCTGGTACTTTTAAAACGGGGAGGGCGTGCGTGGCACTATGAAAGACGGAAGTCTGGTTGCTTACCTACCACGTCATGAGCAACACATGTCTTCAAAAGCGGCAAAGGAAATCAGAAAACACTGACTGCGGCTCCGACTCCTAGAAAAAGCAGCCAAGCTCCCTAGGAAGCCGTAAGAATTACTGGGTATTACTTTAGGACTAACAATATAACCAGAGAGTCACCTTGTAGAACGCCAACGGCCCTTCATCCTTGAAAATATTGGGGACGACCCGAATCAAATTACCTGAATTATGAGTCTGCCGCCGAACTTTTATCAAATATGCCTTGGGTGAGAGATATGAGCATCATCAGCAGCTATAAAGCATGTTGCACTTTGCAGATGATCATTTCTCACCAAATGGCTGGCCTATGTTCTCAGAGTGTCAGCAACCATTCATTTATAGAGAGAACTGCTCACCAAGAAGAACAGAAACAACACTTCCCGCTGCTCCAGCTGCTGTATTGGCGGACGTGTTTCCAATTCTCGTGGACGGCGTGGAGGCTGCCATTGTAGTTCGTGCTCGCAAAACTGGCCCTGAGACTCCTGGTGATTTGGTTGCGTTAGAGAACAACAAGTACGATGTTTCGCTTTGGATCAAAGGATAAACACTTTAATACTCTCTAGAAAAGGACTATGAAGCCTAGATGACTTTCATTGAGCTAGACACTCTTTTACCTATCCTCGCGATGCTTAAATCTGGCTTTGACTACCACATAGACAAACCTCAAGGAAAGTCCAATAAGGCCAAATGGAAGACCACTGGAATGGACACAGGAGAGCGCCATTAAGGCCGGTCATACTTGAAGCTTGGCACCAAATGAAAAACTCCGGCTACAAGAGATAGACGTTGGGAAGGCTTCCGATCCGTAGGGTGCCCGGAGAATGGAACTCCCGACTCATCTAAGAATGTTCGGCCAACAGGTGATTTCTTGCCCTTCAGTTAGCCGATGGAGTGGCGCAATAAACAGAGAGAATTGTATTCGTCCGTGATAGCAGCTTCGGGTATCCAGGATATATAGAACTTGGAAGATGTCATCAAATCGGAAATTCACCTAGCCTTGATCTAGAAAGAGAAATGGCAATCGATAAAAGTGAGGCCCTCGCCATCCTCGGTGCTGGTGCTTGGGGCTTGTCAACGGCCCTTCATCTACATGAGGCGGGATACACAAACATAACAGTATTCGACCAAGCCTCAGATATACCTTCGCGATTCTCTGGGGCTTATGACTTGAACAAGATTGTTCGAGCGGAGTACGAAGATTACTTTTATACGGCGCTGGCACTTGTAAGTAACTAATACGAGTAAAGTTCAAGCTTCAGCGAGCTTCCATTGGAGATAATGGCTCATCCTGGTTCTAGGAGGCTATAAATCAATGGAAAACTCCATTTTGGGGATCCAATTTCCATCAAGTTGGCTATGTTCTCGCAACTTCCGCCGCGGCACCTGAGAAGGCCGTTGAACATTTGCAAGCGACTCTTCTCTCGGTGAAGGACCACCTGTTTTCGCTCCAGGTATTACCCTGCTTAAAGAGCATGAGGGTTTCAAGGTGTATTGGCAATTTTCGGGACCCGAGGCTTCAGAGGCTACTTCAATTGTCTTGCCGGCTATGCACACTCATCCAACGCGATGGCAGATATCCACCGACATCTGGCGGCCAGAGGAGTCAAATTCATCCTGGGATCGGAAGAGGGAAAGGTCGTTAGACTTATGTACAGCAACAACGACATTCCCACTGAGCGACATCGCACAGGATTCCAAGTGGCCAGTGGAAAGATCCATCACTCTCGACGTAAAATCATTTGTCTAGGAGCCTGGGTGGCAAACCTTGTTCCGAGACCCCAATGTGGTTGCCAAGTGTTTGTCGCCCACGTCCAGCGGACTGAACGAGAGTGCGACTACCTCCGGGGAATCCCGGTCCTCAAGGTTCGAGATCTTGGATTCTTCTTTGAACCAGATCCGGCCACTAGTTTGCTCAAACTGTGTCCGCTCGGTTCTGGATACATCAATTCGGAAAAGAGCGCTGGGCGATCTTTGCCACCACGAAACCACCGCAGACACTGAAGGACTACATTCCATTATCTGATGAAAAGAAGCTGAGGAGACTGTTGAGGGAGACACTGCGATGGTTAGCAGATCGCCCTTTCGTGGACAAAAAGATGTGCTGGTTTGCAGATACGTCGGACCCAGAGTATTGGGTTGATTTCGTACCAGGCACTAGGAATTCACTGGTCGTGATGTCCGGGGACTCGGGGCATGGGTTCAAGATGATGCCATTCGTCGGGAAGTGGGCTGTCAAACTCCTGGAGAAGGGACGGCAGGTTTTACCCAGGTGGCAATGGAGAAAAAGCCTGGACAAAGGAGGGAAGTAATGGAGAGACGAGGTCAGTTGGACGATTGGAACGACTGGGGAGATTGAAGACATCCTCACTGAACACGAGAAAATGGTAAAGGCACGTCCGTAGTCCATTTGTCCAGTACCATAAAAGCATAGGAACAGATTCATCCCGTAAGTTATAACCTACCGGAGTATGCTGCATGCCACCCTGCCACCATGCCAGCCAATTGCGACGAAGAAATCGTCTTCGACACCTCTTTCCTTCGAGGCTCACCGAGACTCTATGGTGATGGGAAGATAAACCGTCATAGTGGTGTCGATCCCTCCTCGCCGACACCTCGCCGTAGAGAAGCAACGGGGTGTTGGTCCGATAGCGATATTGCGGGTGGGGACACTCTGGATAGCAACCTGCGGAAGTGGAGCTCCTGGTATCTCTATCGACGGAATGCGTTTCCGAGCAGTAATGCAGCCGACGCTTCCGCTTCGATGAAGCGGATGATGAGGAGTTGTTTACTGATAGATCCATCTGCACACTTCAAGAATCACAAGCCCTTTTCTGCTCTGGATCGTCGTGTTTGGCTTGATACTTTTGACCTAACCCTGGCAAAACGGTTAGCCATTCACGCATTAGGGTATACCTTGTCTCGACCTTCCAACATGAGATCGGGGCCCCGCACTAATACCTAGGCTAACTAAGGCGCCGGCCAATAACAAAATTCAAAAACGGTGGGCTCTCTCCGCTACAGGTAACCAAGACGATAGTCTGAGAACTGAGACAATTTATACCCACAACAGGATTAATATCTGCCTTTGGTTCTTAACAAATCAAGCTAATCAATCAATATCGGACATCCTCGAACATACTCTGTTATTTTTGGTACGAAAGTATTGTTCTGTTACATTATTGTTTTGCGGCTGTTCTCGCCGTGTATCGCCCAGGAAGCCCCCGCCCATGAAGATCCGATTTTCTTCGTGGTTCCGAGCCCTCAACAGCAGACACCTACGCCAAGATATTGATTCTCCAATGTCGGGCACAGATGGTAAACTTGCGTATTGTCCTACTTTCAACCCACCGTGGTGCATGAACAGCGTCAGCGAGAGTATTCAATGGATGTGCCAGCTGAGCGCGACATGCTGCGTAGATGATGCCGCATGATCAGACTCCACGGCTCTCGAGCCAAGAACCTTCTCCCATCCAACGCTATAAGTAAGCTCTGAATCCTACTGCTTACTAGGGAGAATTCATTGGAGTTTCGCCTGGCATGGCTTCTCTCCTCACAGGTTCTCTCAGGGTTCGGCTGGGTGTTTGACTACCTTGGCGAGTTGCATGCAATCAACGAAGACCTCTTTCATCTCCAAACACTCGGGCAGTCATCAACCCTAGAGCAAGGAAAGGAAGCTCAACTGCTGGCTCTGAAAAGCCGAAAGTCCTTGCATCGCCTCCGTTGGCGCGTCTCTCAACATCAAGCATTCTCCGGACTTTGCTGCTGAGTGCCTTTTTCACCTCTCCGTTGCTCTTTAAACCCGGGTATACTTTGTTCGAGAAGTTCCACATTCACCTTCAATATGGCTGAACCCAGACAGGAATCCATTCCTTCGCACATCTATCCATCCCCTAATTTATAAGCACTTCTGTGCGGGTAGAAATCGGGCAGAAATTGGAAAAACATTGTCTGAGATCAGACAGCTGTGGTTCTCTGGTGTCGCCCTATGCTACGGTACAGAACTTCAGGCCCAGGGCGACAGATTTGTCCGTCATGATGACACGCGAACAGTGACGATGGAGAGAGAAATCAATCAATGGGCAGATGGTAATCTCGAGACCTTGGAAATGATTGGAGAAGGAGACTGGTTAGGCGTTAAGTAAGTCTCGTCGCTGTCCTTGCAGCTGAAATAGAGAATGCCAACAACGTCTAGGTACAGTGGCGCGGGGACACATATCAAAAAGTCTTTGATGAAGGGTGAAAAAGCCCCACCCTTGTTTGTTGAGGCCATGGAAAAGATCTGCCGACGTGCTGCTGCCAGAGGATGTCGCATATGGATCGACGCAGAACAACAAGCGTTGCAAGCCACCATCGATCAATGGACCTTTGATCTTATGCGTCGTTACAATGAGCTGGGAAGGCAAACCTTGGTATACAACACCATCCAGGCATACCTCAAATCCTCGCGCGACAAAGTACAAGACCAGCTGGAGCTTGCTCGGGAGCAAGGATGGCGGTTGGGCATCAAGCTAGTTCGTGGCGCTTACATCAACAATGATTTCTGGCAGGCGATCCACGACACCAAGGCGCATACAGACGCCTCGTACAATGGCATCGTCGAGGACCTCCTCTGCGAGAACTTTCCAGCAATGGCCAACCAACGGGCGGTAGAGCTTGATCTGCTGCTGGCAGGTCACAACTCCAGCAGTATTCGGGGAGCAGCTCGTCTAGCGTCCGAACTTTCGGCTCAATCGAAGTTGAAAGTCATCGCAGAGTTCGGGCAGCTTCAGGGAATAGCTAACGATGTCGGATGCGAGCTACTGCGGATAGCGGACAATATGAGGAGGGAGGGTAATCTAGCTCCGGCCAATACTTATATACCCAAAGTGTACAAGTGTCTGACCTGGGGTAGTATTCAGGAATGTATGCAGTATCTGACACGCAGACTCGTTGAGAATCGAGGTGCTGCTGACCGGATGAGAACAGGCGCCGCAGGGGTTAGAAGAGAACTCCTTCGCGGGATAGGCATCAGATTCTAAGACAGAACAACGCACGCACATTGAATGGGATCGGTTAAGAAGAGTCCAGAGGTTGAAATGGGAACTTGCTTCTCCGGCAAGCCGAACTGAAAAACAAGTGGTACACCAAAATCCTTCGCTGCTAGAACAGAGGCGGCCTTCGTTCTTAATGAACATGCCGTTAAACTTAGAAATAGTGGCCTTCTGTCATTTATCCTATTGTCAATTACATTCGATAGAGCGGTCGCTTCGACTTTATTGAGCATTCTTGAGGTACATATCCGATGACAGACTGTGCCGCTTATTTTTGAAACCGGCTCGCCGGATACAGAGTGCCATGCCTATTCTGTACAAAACGTCCTGTAGACCATAAAAGAACCTCTTTACCATGCTCAGCTTCCCGATGCTCGTAGAAATTAGAACACCTCCGGCTCCAGGGCGATACAGCGCAAACTTGCACCAGTTTACCGATAAGAGAAAAAAAAAGGCTCAAAACACAGTTTGGCTTTCATGTTCTCATCACAATTCCAAAGCGGGCAGCCTCCTCCTGCCAAAAGTGTCGCCGCGCCCTCTCAGCCTCGAAGCGAGTTGTCCGGCTCCTCCTTTTGACTGTGCCTGCAGTAACCCACTTCGCATATGCTCGAGCTTGGAGGTCGCGGAGGGAGCTGCTCCGACGGCGACCTGTTACTTCCTCTTCGCTTTCGTGGCTATGATGGAGAAAAGCCATCGCGTGTAGATGTCGCGGGTTGGCGGTGTCGATGTAGATATTGTTGGTGTTCAGATTTTTGTGGTGAGAGTTGTGTTACCTGTTGACGAGTGTGTTTGGGAGTGTTTGTGAGGTGATATATTCGATGGATATTCACTCATTCGATGATTCGAGTTCGCACTCTTGACCGATCCAACATGGAGCAGGGAACGGGGGCTGCTTACCGTTATATAGACATGTCTGTTCATATTTTTTTTTGCTACTGTGACATACCAGTAGACAGAACTCGTTAGCTCCATCTCCATGGCGAGCGGGCACATAATCTTTGTGAGGCATTTTGGGTGGAAAAAAAGAGCCAAGGAGGAATCCAAAAGGATACAGGAGTTTGCCAGCAGCCGAAACAGCCCGCACAGCCCGCACAGCCTCAGCCGACGCCTGTAAAGGTCAAAAATGGACTAGTTCGTCGCGATGGCTTCTGCATTCAGTATCCAGCCTTGGCATTCAGCGCAAATGGCTCAATAGCGTCGGAAAAGAGTTTGACCAGCCTTAAGTTTGACGTCAGCGGTTGCGCAATTCTTCCCAGTAATGCGGCACGTGGCGAGAGATACAAGTACACAGCGAGACAAAGCAGCATATCTCGCGAGCTTGACTGCCTCGGCCAAGCTTTGCGAGCCGTAATCAAAAGTAAAATGGTACAGCCTGACAAGAGGAGAGCGATTCGCTATTAGATCGAAGATGCCCTTCGTTCGCAATGAGTATGCTGCTTACCTATGGGAATGGGACCCTCTTTCATTCATCCTATACTGTCAATTATATTCGATGTAGCGGCCGCTGTAACGTTATTGAGCACGCTCCAGGTACACATTTCCGTGATAGACTGCCCCAGTTATATGTGAATCCGGCTTGCTTGGTATATACTTTGTGCATGTTTCTGGAAATGTCGCAATGTGCGGATGTCAATCGAGCGTCGTCTGGTGCCGTCTCCCGAAGCCGACAGAGTATCATTTCCCCTGTTCATTCAAGTACACGCACCTTGTTTCCATGCTTGTGAGTATCATTGTACTCTCCGTACTGTTGTGTTTGTTCCTCATTCATTATCCTCGCCATATGCCAGGTCGTCCTCTTCGTCATCCTTCTTCTCAGCCTGCCCCTTGTAGTCATACACGAGCCGGGCTCTTCGAAATTCGCCTTCCTTCCAGACCAACACCCGCCGAGTATATCGCCGTTCACCATTGATATCTTCGAAACCCCAGTTCTGCTCAGCCTGCCAGCCTGCCTCGTCCATGTTCTTCACCCAGCTTTGAAGATGTTCGTCGTCCAGAAACTTGGAGTCTGTCTGCCCGTCCTTGAGCTTCTGTGCCTGCAGGAACACCGCATCCTCTTCTGTACCGGGGCCTTCCATTTTGTATTCGCCTGTCTTCCAGAGTCTTGACTTGCCCCGACAGTTCCCAAAGATGCGATCATGGTGACCTCGCTCTTGCCAATCTAGCGTGCGGTTTTCTTGAGTCGTTGTAAGGCCCGAGGCAACTGAGGTGATATCAACATGGTAGACGTCATCTTTCTTGTATTCTTTGATGGTAAGCTGCATGAGGTCAGCCTGGACAATAAGACTATCTTGGTGCCTTGACGTACTACGACCGTTGCCAAGCTGATTGCGGTTCGAGTGAGCCAGCTCAGGCCCTGGAGAGCGAGCATTGAGTCGATGTCGTCCGAAAGGGTTTTGTTCTCATGTCCTGTCAGATCGAGTCGCAAGCTCCAAAGCAAGAGACCCTCACCATGACGAACTTGCCCGATAGATTGGTGCAAGTGATCTCCGGCGGCGCAGCCATGCTTGCACACCGTGACAACAGAACTTGGAGCTTCTCACGAAGGAATTGGGTGGGGTCTCAAATGGACGCGTGGGAGCTCAGCTATCGTAGAAGATATCGTTGGTTTATTGTGTGTTAAAGATAGAGGAGAGGCTACTTCAACCGCGGGAAAGGAGAGGCGCAGTTCGGCAGCGGCATGAGAAGGTTGATACGTTGCTACTCCTGCCCCTGACGTGTCAATATTGCACTCCGCCGAGCGCGCCATCCCCACCAATTGCCAATTCAATCTCTACAACCCATTCTTCTCACTCTTCAGATTCATTCTAATTCAACCTGTTTGTAACAGCCATGCATGCATCTAGGGCAAATGGAATGCCCCCTCAAGTGATTCATCCCGGAATGGCCAGACATTTCGGTCTCAATTATACACGACCACCCTGAGCCGCAAATACTCGCTTTCCACCGCGCCACGCCGTCGAGATCAATAGACCCCGTTTACCTGCTGGCCGGTAATGCATTGATAGACGGAAATCGCCATCTGATTCTGGGTTCCCAGATCCGCGTTGTTGGTGAAAGACGCGAACTTCTTCCAACTATCTTTAAGTGCCTCAATGCTGTCACTGGCGCACCTAAATCTTTCAAAGTCATATGGGTACATCAGCCCAGCATTCCGCGCCATTTCTACAACTCGCAAGGCGCGAGGCCTCCTAACCTCGTCAAAAGCAGTGAAAACAGCTGGTATCTCAGACTTGTGCTTGACATGTGCAAAAGGCGCATGAAGCACAGCTCCATCTTCAATGGCCTGGCCTGCTCCGTCGTCCATGAAAGGGTAAGTCGAGTGGGCCGCATCTCCCATCATGACAACTCTGCCCTTGTTGAAGTAAGGCGCGGCGTCGTGGTCATGGATAACCTACACCTCGTCTGGTCCAAATGCTTTGAAGATCAACCAAGGACACAAGTAAGTGCAGAACCCTCCTTCCCGGCGCCATACAAACTCACTTCGACCATCTTCGTGCCATCTAGATCGTATCTGACAAAGTCGTCAGGATTCGGTAGCGTTCCTACCTCCCCATCGCTTTGTGCTCGAGTATAGAAACCGATATTCATGGTCTTTCCATAATGTATGGGCGTCATGTTGAAACGGCCATTCGGACCACACAGGATAGGAACAAATCTCAAAAACAGCGGCGAAAGTGTCTTCTCGACCTCCTCCATCGGCAATTTTCCCCCAACCCTATACCATCGATTGTGATTCACAGGGAGCGTGTCCGGATGATCCCTGCGCAGCACATATTGCCTCGTCGCACTGTGGATGCCGTCGGCGCCGATCAGACAATCCGCTGTTGCCGTTGAGCTGTTAGCGCAGTGAAGGACTACTTCTTTGTTTTCTCAATTTCTTACGATTTTTTGCCCATATTCAGGATCTTGTTTTCTTGTTTGACACTATATCCATGTACCCGGTTACCAAGTTCAATCTCGCCACTGTTTTGCGTCCCTTTGCCCACCCCAGCCTGGCAATGACTTCTCCTTGGTCCTTTCCTTCGGCCAGAATGACATGCGTGGCCATCTTCCGGTTATCATCCTCCAACATGCTGTTGGCTTTTCGGAAATATCCCTGTTTTATGGCTGTATCTATGAGGTCCATGGCTCCGATGGCATTTGCATACAGAGCACGAGCGCCACCTCTGTCGCGATGTTGATGGGCCTGTTCACATACCAGGACATCGAATTGCCCGTATTAAAGGAGTCCACGAGCCAGGCAATGGCCGGCTATTCCTCTTCCTGCTATGGCGATTCAATCGTCATGGTGGTTTGCTGGCTGCATGGTGTACTACAGCTCTACATCCTATTTACATGTCTCTGGAATCCCTTGGTTTTCGTGATCATCGCACGTTCAGTGGCATCATCTCAGATTTTGCCACTTTTCGTGTAACAGCAGTCACACTGGAGGCCTTGTGCAACGCACCAAAAACCGCAAGCCCTCGACCCGACTACACTACGAGCCTGAATACTCAACCCCTTCTCTTTGCCTCAACTTGTTTTCTGACTCAGTCCTGGCAGTCTCGCTTAGCATCAACATGCCTATAGACCGGCGTCGCTTGCCAAGTTATGAGCTCGTGTCGGCGTTCCCTTCTTCCTCGCCGCGAGATCGGTGGACTATCAGGCGCCTCGCCCAAGCGCCTCGGCTAGATGGTTCGCCGGTGGCTGTCAGATGCGCGAGTCACGCTCAATCAAATTGCGCCCTTTTCGTCACAAGTCGAGGCGTCCTCTATCGCGTCCCGAGTGACTCGAGACTAGGAATTGGCCTCACTTCATTTAAGTTTGGACGAGGTGCTCTGTTTCTGTCGCTAGATGTTCATTATATAGACAAAATTAAGCTCATCATTCCCTCGTCCGTCAGGTAGCTTCCTCTGTCAAAGCAAGCCAGCTTTCCTTTCCAAGAGTTCGACAAATGCAGTCGTTAGTCGCCTCCGTCTTTCTATATCTTCATGGAAGGGTATTCCACTCGGTGCAGACGACGCCTACTGTATCTTGCCCATGCCGTGGAATGAGCTGTCTCTTCTCAAATGCACCCCGCTCTCGAGCATGAATAGGGGTCTCGCGCAGAGTGAAGATCGGTCGCTGCTCGGAACTTTTCCTTCTGATCCGAGTAGAACAGACACTCATTCACCGCAGACCTCCACCAATGCCAGCTTAGCCCGAAAGATCCTCAGTAGTTCTCTCAACCTAGCACAGCAAAAGAAATCCACCGGTTTGCAACAGGCCGGGCAGCTTATGGCTTTTGCCAGCTTCAGTAGTTGTCGAGGCGGGGATTTCAAGTCAAACAGGGATTTTGCAGCAAAGTGATTCTGGCAGGGGGGGTTGACGAGGGAGACCTAACAAAGGTCGGTTAGTTGGCAGCGCTGAATGTCGCCGCCAGTCCAGCGGGCTGATCCTTGTTTATCCAGGATGGAGGAAGTCGAGAGGCAAGCCCGTTTGTTTGAGAGAAGGCAGTCAGAGCTACCGCCTTGTTTTGGAGAGAGGCATCCGCAAGATTGTCCCGACGAAACCGGATCCCGGATTGGAACAAAGAAGACGTCAAGTTGCTGGATAGGTGAACTCTGCATCCCTCCTCCTTGGCATCGGTTGGTGACAACAGGATCTGAAAGGTACCGATCGTCACGATTTCAGTGGAAGCTCCAGCCTTCCGACTCAAATCTCGGCCATGGTCAAAACTCGTGCTCTCATGATCTCAAACCTCCCTCCACATCTTCTCACCTGTTTCCATTCTCTCCATTGACGCCTTTGCCATTCTCCATTAATCCTGCCTCCTCTAATAAATCATCATCGATATTCTCCCCTAAATCTCTTTCCTCGAGAAACTCTCTGCCCTTTAACTTATCAGGCAAATAATCTTGCTTAACCCTACCATTCATATAATCCGGATTGTATTTGTACTCTTTCCCGTACCCCAATTCTTTCATTAACCGGGTCGGCGCGTTTCTTAGGTGGATGGGAACCGGCAGACCTGCAATTCCGGGCTCTTCAAGAGCGTGCATTGCATTCACAAGAGCCCTGTACGCCCTCGTCGATTTGGGAGCAAGGCATAACGCGACAGTGACATGAGCAAGGTTGATTCTCGCTTCAGGCATGCCAATTTTCTCACAAGCTGTATATGCCGCGGTCGCGAGCGGGAGGAGCGAGTTGTCCGCCAATCCGACATCCTCGCTCGCGATCACAATCATGCGCCTCGCAATGTACAGCGGGTCTTCTCCAGACTGGAGCATGCGCGCCAGATAGTACAACGCTGCGTTAGGGTCGGAGCCGCGTACGGATTTGTGGAATGCGGATATAGTGTCGTAGTGTTGGTCACCAGCTCGGTCGTAGACGAGCGTCTTTGTGAGCGACTGTTTTAGATCCCCCACGGTCATGCCGGGTCGACGAGAGATGCCCATGGCTAACTCGAGGAGGTTGAGAGCTGTGCGAGCATCGCCGTCAGCAAAGGCGGCGAGGTATCTGATCAACTCGTCATTGACGAGTTGAGAGGGCCTGTAATTGTCGCGTTCGGCTTCCAGCGCCCGATGGAGGATCTCGCAAATATTCTGGTCAGTGAGTTTCTGCAATGTGAACGTCCGACACCTCGAAAGGAGGGCGTTCTGCACCTTGAAGCTGGGGTTCTCGGTCGTGGCGCCGATCAGCGTAACATGTCCAGCTTCGACCGGACCGAGGAAAACGTCCTGCTGGCTTTTGCTAAATCTGTGGATCTCGTCGCAAAATACGATTGTCTTGCGACCCGTGAGGGCAAGTTCGCTTTTGGCTTCTGCGAAGATCTTCTTACACTCCGCCACCCCGGAGGATGTACTGTTGATCTCGACGAAGCGCGAGCCAACCATTCCAGCTATAACGCGCGCAATGGTCGTCTTTCCTGTCCCTGCGGCACCCCAGAGAATCATGCTAGGGACACGGTCTTGTTCGATCAGTCCTCGTAGCACGCCATCGCAGCCGACCAGGTCCTGTCCACAGACTTCATCTAGGGTTTTAGGGCGCATGCGTTCTGCCAGCGGCGCGGCTTTTTCAAAGGGGTTGTGTTTGGGCTTTTTGCTCTGCGGCACAGCTGCTTCAATACCATGGTGAGATCTGCTTGTCTCCTCATTCTTTACGACGGGGTGTCCATTCGGTTGTTGCTGCGTCGAAGTGGCTTCGAATGGTCGTTTCGCTGTTATGGAGGTGGGTGGTCGAGGATCGCTAGGGGATGGTATTGGTTGGGAGGACGAAAAGAAGGAGAAAGCATCACGTTTGGCGACAGGCGTCTTCAAGAATTTGCCTGTCCCGGGTGTAGAGTTGCTTTCACTCTCAATGTACTCGGTGCAATTGGAATCGATGTGGTCGTTGATCGTGGTTTGTTTGACAGATTTGCCGCAGATTGGGCAGGCGACCATGATGGGTGTTCATAGTTCAATATATCAGTGTCTAGGAAGCAAGCTAGAAGCTCAAGGGAAGACAGTTCCAGACGGTGATGAAAGTGCCTGCGGATTGAAACAGTTGGAGTTCAGGTCCGCCGCGTCACACGCGTTAAGCGAACCCCGCTCGTGACAAGGCTGAGCATCCCCTTTTACACATAGGGCAAAGTTGCATCAATCACATTGAACAAGGAGCACAATTGCTTTGACCGACGAAATCAATACGTAGATTTCTTCATGCTGTTATTTATCTAGTATCTAGCGCTCTAGGGTCATGGCCGCGAAGCCTATATAAAGTATGCTGTCAATCAGATCATATACTTCTTTAGGCCCCTCAATCGGTCCTTTGCATCCTCCAACACATCATCGTTCTTACAGACCGCAAACCGCATCCAATCCTCCGCCAAATGTGCCCTCTCGTCTGTATAAAACTCACTCGGCGGAATCGCCGCAACCCCCAATTCCATGATCAAAAACCACGACATCTTGAAATCCCGCGGTCGGTCTCTGACATGGTCCGGGAATTTGTAGCCTTCGGGGAGCTTGACCTTTGACAGGTTAGCGAGCACGAAATAGCCACCCTCAGGAACTGAATAGGGGATGCCCAGTTCATCGAAGATCTGACAGAAGCGGTTCATTTTGCCCTTCATCTCGGTGATTTGTTGGTCCCAGAATCCAACTTTATCCGCCTGTTCGAATCCAATCGCGGCAGCCTCTTGCAAAGGCGAGACACTTGAGTAGCAGATTCTTGTGTGTGCCGCGGCCACGTATTTGATCAGCTCTGGCGGGCCGATCAGATAGCCTACGCGCCAGCCCGTCGCGTAGAAATTCTTCCCCGCCGATCCCACCGTGAGTGTTATTTTGGCGAGCTCGGGAGAGAGCGTGGCTATTCGTGTAAAAGGAACGTAGTATAATCGGTCATATACCTCGTCTGACAAGATGATGACTTTATGTTTCAAGCATAGGTCGCCGATCCGTGTTAGCTCTTCCTTGTTCAAGACCTTCCCGACCGGGTTGTGCGGTGAGTTTAAGACAATCATCTTCGTCTTGGGGTTGAATGCCTTTTCCAGCTCGTCAAAATCAATGGTCCAATTCGCGGCGGAGGATGTTCGCTCCGCGCCGTCGGCAGGCGGGTGCATAGGGACATATCTGATTGTTCCGCCAGGCATCTCAATATTGCTGAGATACTGGTCGAAGAACGGTTCAAAGATGATGACCTCGTCCCCCGGTTCGATAAAACCCATGAATGCGCTCAACATGCCTGTCCTCTGTCAGCGAGATCATCCATCGTTAAATTTTCGTGATGCCTGCCTTCATTGGCCCCCGTTGTAATCGTGACTTCGGTTTCTGGATCTAACCTTCTGCCGAAATAAGGTGAGTATGCATCGGCAATCGCCTTTTTCAACCTCGGCCTGCCCTTTGTGGGGGAATATTGATTGCACTCTACTCGGTCAAGAGCACTCTTCGCAGCGTCAATGATGAACTGGGGAGGATTGTAGCCACTGTTGATCTCCACGTTAGTCCATCCTGCCCACGATGGTCACGAGTGGTGATGTCGGTGTGTCCCTGCATACTCACAAAAACCCTTGGCCCATGTTCACAATCGGCTGCATGGGCGACACAGCAGCAGCCTCATTGACGATGGACCAGACATCCTGCCTCTGCCCTGCGACGCGCTTCGCAGGCGCAAACTTGACGTCCATCTTAGGCGTCGACGAGAAATTGCAACGAGAAGTGCGCGGGCGGCTCGAATGCGATGGACCACCTCTAGCAGCGAGGGGTAATTCTGCTCGAAAGACTGGGCGAGAGGCGGATCGGACTGCTGCTGTGGTCGTCGAGAACTTGAAGTTCATGGGGCCTGAGACACAAGAGTCAACCTGCGCTGAGAAAATTCGGAGAGTATGACTTGGGAGGACAAAATTGATGTTTGGAGGAGTGCGCAAACGAGATGGATTGACCAGTGAGACTGGCGGGAATGATTGCGAGATCGGGGTAAAGTATGTCAACACGACACACCGCTAACCGCGGCAGTCTGACATCATGTTTCAATGTACTGAGTAGTGCCATCTCGGACTGCATTCAACGCGGCCTCACCTCCAAGAAAGGCCATCTTTTCTCTGGAAGCACTGGTTCTCCCTCTTTCAATCCTACAGCTCGCGCCCACAAGCAGCCAGCCCTTTACGAGAGAAGCACAGTGTGTGTGCAGCGTCAGATGGCGACATTCTGTGAGCTTTGATTCGGCAAATTCCCGATTCTGTACCGAGTGCTCGGTACCGTACGGCGCTCGCCCCAGTTCCATCAGCCCAACAGCTACGCTACTACGACGCAAATGCCATGAACCAAACATCGAGCAGCACTTGTAGACCCAAGCAAGAGAATCTCGAGATGGATTGATCATCTTTATCGTTCATTCGATTCTGTTCGTCGGGAGGTCGTTTCAAGTGAAAGAAAATACCCAAACACTTTCGACGCCGTGCCAAATATGCAGCGATTCCACCAGTCGTTCTCACACCCAGTCTACACAGGCATATACCCCTCTGCCCAGTATAAAGCTGTACATTATCCACCTCCTTTCATCTGTACAGTAGTCCGTGCCACCGCCCGTCTCCATCATGCGTACCTCACACTTTGCCCTCTCTGGGGATAGTTATCCCAGCCCCCGTACGATGGCGGTGGTTGAGGAGGATACCAACCGTGTGGCGAAGTCATCTGTACAGGCGACTGTTCCCACCCGCCCCCATATCCACGATCTCTCATCTGTGGAGGAATTTGAGGTCCATCCCAACCTCCACGTTGTGCACCTTGGACCCCTCGCCGTTGTCGACGCTGTCCAGGAACAATGCCATCCAACTTCTTCCCTCTTGGCCGTCTGCATGCCCTGATGCAGCATCCGAGGATAGCGAGCAGTAGCAGGCCTCCGATTGCGCTAGCAAGGGCAATCACCAAAGTTTTATTGTCGTCAAACCACGACTTGACCTCGCCTCCAATGGTGCTCCCCTTGCACACACCATTCTCGCATCGCCCCCCGCCGCCGCAGGGAGTCCCGTCCAGGAAGTTTTGTTGCATGCTGTAACACACATTTGCTCCGAAGTCTGGACTGGCACAGCTCAAAGTGCAAGTTTGACTGTTGCAGGCATAAGTATCATTATCACTAGTGTAGCTGCCCATGAGAGTCTTGCATTGGAGATCTCGACTCGTGCACTGGCCACTGGCACATTCAAGACCACTACCGCAGTCGGTTCCGTCGGGCGCGGTGGTGTCTGTCGGACATGTTCCATTAGTGCCAGAGCAAGTCTCAGCAGGATCACATTGGCCAGTGCTAGCACGGCAGACGGTCCCGGCAGAAGCGAACTGACAAGTCGACGTGCAACAACCTTCGTTGCTGGGATCGCAGACAGCGCCTGAATTGAACTTGCAAGTTGTAGGATTGCAGCAGCTGTTCCCCGCACAGGATTCGGTGCCGCCACAATCACAGTCTTCACCTTCCTCAACGATACCATTGCCGCACTGGTTCCCGCTAATGGTTACGACGCCTTTGTTATCGGTGAGGCACTGCGATTGAACGGAGTTGCGGCCCAGTGCGCTGCAAATGTTACCGACCGAGCAAGGCGAGAATTGGGTGATGTCCGGCGAGGAATAAGGATTCATCATGTATTGAGCATTGGCATCGCAGGTGCTGGACGAGAGGGGGCAGCATTGGCCAGAGTTGACAATATTGGAATCGGCACAGGTGCTGGAATCGCAATCGTGGACGGCGCCAAAGGTATGCCCACTTTCGTGAGCAAACACTTGCCACTCACTCGAGGTCTTCGCGATCACGTTGGCGCCAGTCACGCTCTGAGAGTTGCCGCTACTGTCTTGCTGCGAAGTGGAACCGTGATTGCACAGCTGTCCAAGCCAGGCTAGGCCGACTTCAGCGCCTGTGTTACAAGTCGTGAAGAGAGACCAGTAAGCATTATCATCGCCTCGTTGACCACGCCATGTTGAGAAGAGGTTGAGCCGTTGTGTTATATCGGTGCTGCTAGAGCAACCCACATTCCATGGCGTTTGAGTGCTTGGTGTTCCAGGACATTCGCCATCGGAAACGGTCAGATTGCGGAGGCCGAGAGTGATGTTGAAGGTAGATTGGTACAGTTCAGAAGCAGTGTTGACCAGACTAATGATGTATTGCCGCAAGCTATCGGTTGAGTTGAAGCTCGCGGTGTATGTACAGTCACTGGCTACCCCGACCAGGGCAACTTTGCGAGTAGTTGGGCAACCAGCGGTGCTGCCAATGGTGGAAGCCAGATTGACACCTGCCGAATTGCCTGAGCCCACACCGCCGCCATCGATATTATTCTGGCGCTTTTCAAACAGGTTGGAAATGGACATGGAGCCCATGTCGCCCCAGAAACCATCGTCACGTTTGAGCATCAAGTCGCGGTAGATGGGATGGTCAGGATGGGTGTTGAACTCCAGCTTGTCAGAGGCACAGGTCAAGCCAGCGCTTCGTTTGAGGTCCGTATGAGGTTGTCGACTGACATCCGAATCACGCCAAACAGCCATATACTCGTCGTCATCCTCTTCCAGCTCGGGATCGAGGTCGTGTTTGGTGGCCATGTAGTTCGACTTCAGTTGGACATTGTGGTGATTTCCCATGACTGTGAAGGCGCCCTCAAAGAGAGGTCTGACGCCATCCCGCCTCACGGCAATTCTAGCCCAGCCGACATGTCGGTTTATTCCGTCGTCGTCGACGAGAAAGGCTTTTCCCTGAAAGATCTTGTGGTCCTCGCGCTGCATCTTCTCGACGTGCCTGACATTGCCATACTTGTCTATAAATTCCATATAGGAGTCTTCATGGATGATGTCATGGTTAGGTTCAAGGCTCAGCCGAATATGCTGGGTATTCTGATGGAGGTCGAATATCAAATCGAAGCTCGAAGTGCAGTACACTCTTTGCGAGGGCGTTTGTATTCGAGGGTTTTCAATTAATGAGAGGTAGTTTAATGGATTTCTGGACCGGGAGTGTGCATCGACGGTGCCTGCGAGCAATAGCAACAGAGCTGAAACGACGGCCGTGGCGAGGTTCTGAAGATGGCGCATCTTGCGCTTATGGAACACTAGAGGTCAGGCCGGAGGTGAGGCTGCGGAGGTGCGCAGGGTGCTCAGATGACTCTCTGTTCAGTTTGCATTGAAGACGGAAACAAGTCGTCGAGGTCGACCGGTATACTAGCGAATGTCCAAGTGAGCAGTAAGACGGTGCTGGTCAGTCGGCAGAAGGTAGGAAATCTATGGCGGCGGTTGCTGTACAAATTGGGTGTGATAAGGCAGGGCGGATGTATCGAATGCGCAGCCTGAGATGTTGTGTGATATTATGGTAGCAAAAGGCCGGAGGAACTGATAATGTCTTGCGTACTGTACACAGAAGCAAGGTGGAACGACAGGTGCAGAGTAAGAACGAATGTCGTTGTTGTACGCCCAGACGGGGGTGGTGCAGACAAAGTTGCAATATGAGAGTACTCGGTATTGGTAGAGGAGGGCAAGAGGGAAGAGGAGCAGTTCGCCCAGCTGTACCATAGTGGGCTGGGTTTGTCAATGGCGTTGGTGTCTGGCGTCGGTGGACTCAGCCACCCCAAGCAACCGGATCCCGGGCATCACGGGAGCAGAAGAGGGGGCCGCAACGCCCAGCGACGCCAGCATTACGAGTCGCCAAGCAACTGCTAAGGCGCCGCTAACTGATTAAAGAAACCCATGATTATCACTGCCACGGTCAGCCATAACTCCGACCGCTAATCCATCACCACCAAGTCCTAAGATCTACCTACTGGGTACAATCCTCCGGCCTCCCAAGGGAAAAGACGCCTCATACCATTCAAATCAATACCCATGGCTCTGGTGACCCTGCCGAGGAACTACTCGCAATTCGATCCGAAAGCAAGAGCATACGAAATACTCCGCAAAGACAGCCAACGTCCTGGGCGGAGATCGAGAGACCTAGTCAGCTCGTATGTACGTACTCGGTACGGAGTAATACGGAGATGCGAGCACCCTATCTCGTAGGAAGATCTCGGATATCGGCAGTCCCGTTCTCCCTCATGGTTCCAATGTCCCCGAAACACCTCTGACGCGTGCCAGAAACCCTCAATATGGCGAAGACAGGTTAACCTGTCTTCCCTAGTCCTTATTACTTTCACAATTATGAGATTCTTCATCCCTTAAAACTCACTCCACCCTTCCTGTCACGGATGTCCATCCATTTTCCTCCTCGAGAGACCCATTGACTCCAACAAAATTGAAACTAGACATTATCAGCGGCCTCTCTCGCTCAAGCCTCGCTCTCAACCCCGGGCTCTCTGCCACCAAGTCCCCCTGTAAATCGCTTCTTGATTTTGCCCATCCCGATCTTTGCTTCATCTTTAGCAAACTTGACATTTCTGGCCGGCGTCCACTGCGACAGTCCTCGGTGTTTGCGCTCTTCCGCTCGTTTTGTAGCCATCTTCTCAAACCCGCTGTCTCTCTTCTGCACCGGCTGCACCGAGCTTGCTGATCCCTCCGTTGTGGTCGTGTAGCCGGTTTCGCCTGTGGCAGTGGTATCAGCACTGGGCCTCCCATTCACTTCCGCACTATAACCATTTAGGCCATCGACTCCCTTGGGATCCTTCTTGAACGCTTCTTCAGGGACATTGGTGGCATCGGTGATGCCAAGATCTGACGACGAGTCATC